TACAACCACCGAAATTTATGAAAAAGGGCACGCCGAGAGAATTTATTGACATTGCAACCAACACAGATACAATCGCCACAGAAACCAGAGAGACTCAAGACAAATCAACAATTAAATATGACATTTGAGGCGTTTAACGTAAAGGAAACCAAGACAATATGTTTAAAATAATGCTTAAAAACTTTTGGCACAACACATACAAAAGAAATGAGCCAACAAGAACACAGGCAACACAAACATTGAAAAACCAACGCGACGCAATGGTGTCAGCCTTTACTAAAATGCTCGACAACAACAAACCGCCAGAACCACCGCCAAAGAAACCACCAGATGAGGATGACAGCGATGAAGAAGAAAAGAAGTTCAAACTGACAAAAATGATAGAAATAATGCTACACAACGGCGCTACCGTAGCAGATATAATATTAAACTTATCACACAGCACAATTGCAACAACAATAAATATTGCAGATTTAGTTAATCAGATAACAGCAGGAAATGCACAAAGTAGCGGTAGCAATTCATCAAATGAAGCTATTAGTGTTCATAGTTCTCCACCTATTACTGTTCATAGTTCTTCATCTGAAAGTCCAACAGAAATACCAGCACCAACTGAAGACGAAGAAGAAGAAGAAAACCAACATTTCAATTTTGAAAAATTAAAATCTAAATAATATTATATATAATGGGTTCAAGTAAATCAAAACCAGTAGAAATTGATGACGAAGAGGCTATTAAAGTAATAAAAGATATAGATGTAAATACGATAAGTGAAATGTCAAGAATTGATATTCTACAAATAAATTCATTGAAAGCAATAATCAATAAATTAGAAAAAGTTAATGAATGTAAAAAAGATAAAATATATTATAAATTACCTGCTTTGAATCTATGTAGTTATTCTTTATTTTAAATTAATAATATTAAAACAAATTAATATTATTAATTGCTTATACAACTTCTTTCACTTTTTGGCGTTGATGTTGAAACAGTGCTATTTGTTTCATCTATTAAATCTTCTTCATCAACAAAATTATTTTGAAATCTTAATAATTCCTCGTCCGTTGCCCTCCTCTTCAATGCCTTATAAAGTTTATGTATCCAAGAATTAGTATGAAAATTATAATTACCTCTACGATACAATCCACCACATCTACATAGTTTCATTGACATATTATTATATTATATTAAATTAGAATATCTTTATTCATCATTCGTAATTTGAAACGCCTGTTCAAATCTGATATGAAACATTTTGTTAATGTCTTTAGCATTCATATTCACGTAGAAGAAACTATAAGGTGCGTCATTAACGGCTTGATGATACATATCTAATAATTGCTGTTTATCAACAATGGCGCTATTTTCTTCAATAAAACTCATTAACTCACTTGCATTTTTCAACCTAAAAATATATAATGAACTGGCATTTAAACGAATGATAGGCGCTAAAACATTATATTTTTGTGTTGAACAAATCACACTTACTGCATCGTGCCTGCCTCTTGTAAATAATCCATGTAATAATTTACTATATCTAACAAATTTAGGGTCGTCTGCGTGGTCATCTATAACGATTAATATTGAATGTAGTTTCTTTATCTTTTTAGATTTCATATAATTAATTATTTTCTTCTGTCTTTCAATTACATTTTCTAAATCACTTGGATTATAATTATCAAAATAAATTTGTTCTTTTTCATCATCCACGTGCAATTCGTCCCTGATATATTTTTTAACTTCTGTAAATGTAGGGTCGTTATGGACGCTGGGTGAGAATATAAATATTCTTGCAAATGAATTTCTATAAACATTCAATATTAAATTTTGAATAAGGACAGTCTTACCGCCTGTCGAAGAAGCAACTATAATACTTCTAAATGGTAATTTTGGCACGTGCTCATATTTAGACTGTTTGAATTCATATTCAGTTATGTTTATTGGTTTTATTATTGGAACATCTGTCATATAGTTGATATTAAAGAAATATAGAAAATTATATTTAAAAATTAACTTGTAATTATTATTAAATGGAACATCATTTTTATGATATGCTGGTGGCGAATATCATAAAAATGGAACAGGCTTTTCCATTGCTTCAATCAATAAGCATTGAAGCTAATTAGTTTGTATCTCGCTCGCGTGTGCAATGAAAACCCCAAGTGCTGTGCCCTCCGAATATTCTATCATGCATGAAAATAATAAGATTAAATAAATATTTTATCTTATTATTTATATGACTATTATCCATTGCAGTTGTGGTAAAACTTATGATGACAAATATTTATTTAAACATCTAAATTCAAAATATCATCAGAAATTTGTAGAATATAGATGGAATAAAGACGATACAATGAAAAAACTTTACAAGAAAAGAAAGACAGAAATGAAAAATAGTTTATCTTATTATTTAATATGAAAAGGAGTTATACAGATTATATTAATATAATAGATGAAATGGAGAATATAGAACGGGTTGTCATAACTGATAATAGATGTAAAAAAATATGTTATTTTATTTTAGAATTAATTAAGTTTTTGATACAATATATTAAAAATATAAATATTAATATAAATGGGAAAAAAGAAAAAGAGTAAAAGCAAAGAAAGACCAATACCAGATATTGAAGCACGGAAAGAAACAGCAGAAAGTGTTAAATCACTAGGCGAAAGTAAGACTATAAAATGTGATAAATGTAATCACATAATGAATTTTAAAAATGAATTGACAGTAGATAAGAAAGGTGGAGTTAAAGTTAGTTGTGTCCCATGTATGTTTTCTTATAAAAAAACAGATAAAGATTTTAATATTCAGAAAAGAACAGATGGCGATATGGTTATTGAAACTAACGAACATTTGATTAATGTTAGTTTTAACAGGGACATAAGTTAGTATTTAAAGAGTATATTTAACATAATTGCACTTTATAAATATATAATTAAATAAATAATTATCTAAATAAATATATAGTAATGTCTGAAAATGAGAATTATACTATTAATGATTTAATGAAGAAGATAACATTAATTGGTAAAAATATCAAAAACTTAAATGATATGATTAAATCCATTGATGACAAAATGAAACCAGTTGAACGCGAACAACAAAGCAACGAAGAGAAGGAAAAAATCGATAAGATATTTCAAGCAAAATCTATAGGTAGACCCAGTGGCGATTACCCTACAAAGCAAAAGAAATACTGTGATATGTTGAATACAGGAAAAATCAAACAACCAAAGCAACAAACATTAGAGTTTTATAAAATTACAAAACATGATGATGGAGTATATGTATTATTTGAATAATTAATATCTAAGTAATTCTAATAATATGAATTTATTAGAATTATTTAGCAACAAGACCTATATAAAATACCTAGTGAATTAATTAGTGAAATCTTAGTGAGCTTGACGGATTAAGGATTTAGGTTTGGGGTTGGGCTTGAAACTTGAAAACCCAGCCAAACTGAGCACACACCATTTTGGTGTGTGCGCCATCCGTTTTTGGTGTGTGCGCCATCCGTTTTTGGTGTGTGCGCCATCCGTTTTTGGTGTCGGCTCCTCTTGTTGCATCACAAACTGTTTTTTCAGCTCTAAGTGTGTGAAGAGATGGACGAATTAGATTTGGATGAAGACATTAGCCTTCCATAGTTTATCAATTGTAAACAGCACCAATATTCATATAGATATATCAGGAAACTCTCACCAATTGTCAAACAGGGCAGGGCCCTACATATTCTGATGTGGGGCTCTACATATTCTAATGTGGGGCTCTACATATGTGGATGTGGGGTTGTACATATACATATGTGGGGTTCCACATTCAAAAGGTGAATGTAGTGGATGATGTGGATGTGGAGTTCCACATATGTATATGTTGGGTTGAACATATGCATATGTTGGGTTGAACATATGTATATGTTGGGTTGAACATATGTATATGTTGGGTTGAACATATGTATATGTTGGGTTGAACATGTGTACATTTGAGCAATGGAACAACCCATGTTTTCTTGAGGACATGTACATGTTGAACACAACATATGTAGATGTTGAGTGCAACAAATGTAGGTGTTTAAATTATAACCATACTATGATTATAACATTTATACCCTTATATGTTATAATTATAATGTAAGTATAGCGTTTTGTATATTGAAGATAAAATCCTACAAGGGACACGCGAGCGTTAGCGAAGCTCGCAAGCTATGCGACCACGCCCAAAAAAATATATGATGAAACTGATGAAACGAAGGAGGGAGTGATGTTGTTGCTGTTCTATTTTTTGTCCGGGAAATGGACAAATCGTTTTTAGACAGTTCGAATATTTTTTTGATGACAAATATTTTTTGCAATATATTTTGCAAAATTTCTTTTTTTGAAATGGATGAGGTGAGGAGATTGAGGAAATGACATTTTGGAGGGTAGTTGGTGAATTGAATGAGGCGAGGAGGAAGGAGAAAAGGATGGCGAAAATTTTGGAAAAATGATGATAAAAAAACGGATGAGATGGACAGAAAGGAATGTAGAAAAATGATGAAAACGAATAAGGGTAGAAGATGGAAGATGAAAAAAAATGTAGGGTGGGGGGTATGTATGAAGCAATTTATTTGCGGGGCAAGGCCCCCGACTACTGACACACCCCACCGAGACGTATCCGGGTATTTGCAGTAGGCGGATTCGGGCTTGTGGGGTGCCTTTCAGTCATTCAAGTGATTCAAGCTCACCCTATAAATGGGCGGCTTCGGGCTTGCCCCTTCAAATGGTACACAGTTGACCCTGTTTGTTCGAAACCGCCCCCTTTGTTGAACGCCATCCTCTAAATGACCCAAGTTTGTATCCTTTCACTGGGGTCATTATTCTGACCATGTCGGGAATTTGTCAAAGTCAGAGGGCTGGTAAAATCATGGGGCCAGTTTACCAGCGACCTCAGAAAAGCTGGCCCGAACAAAGCAAGCCCAAACGGGTGCGTCTTGCTCTGCGCGATCCGTGCGATCCGCCTGGATCCTCAGCATGCTGAGCACCGCCAGAGTGAAGGCCGCCGTCTTCCCCGACCCGTTCTGGGCCTCCAGGCCGGCATCATCCAGAAACTCGGCTTAGAGGGAAACCACTTTTGGACCAAACTAAGGTCAACTAAGTCACGCGAACCCCCGTGTTTCTGCGTCTCTGGGGGGAACCCCAAAAAGGTTGGCGTTAAAGGGACAACCGTCTCCCGCATTCTAATAGGCGCACCATTGGGATATCACCAAAATTGGGATGTTCAGATGGTCCGCATTTAGCATACCCCTAAACAAAACGAATACTGTTGAGACCGCTTGGCCAACTTGTGCCTATAAGACGTGCTTTGGATTGCTTTCGGCACCGCCTTCATGGCTTAGCGCCTGCCACAAAGTGGGAAGTCCACCTTTTTGTACTTTTCAAGCTGCGAGGCATAGCTCCAGCATCGAGGTGTTTTGGGCAACTCTTACCTTCTATCTTGGAAACTGATGGAAGGGGGACATCTAAAACGTTCACTTCCAAGAATGATGGAAAGAGGCAACGAGCATGGAAGCTGACAATTGGAAGGAAAGACTTGTGAGGGACATCCCTGTCCAGGTTGATGAAGGAGGAAAATAATGTACTCGCTCGACTTGAATGCTTAGGGGTAGTTCATTATCCCATGGGGAAGAATGTACCGGAAACTCCTCGTCAAGGATTCTTCCATTTGGGTTGTGTCTTTTCCCTTTCATGTCATCCCAAGGTAGGGTTAAGCGCTTCTCAAACCACTGATGGCCTGCCTGCTTGTTCGCAGCTAATTTGTATCACACCCTGGATTCACTCACTCAACAAAGGGTGGGCGGAGAATTGCTTAAATCCCCAATGTGCTGACGACCTATTTTGGCAGGGATGCGGATCACTTAGGCAACACCCCGACAGGTTGACTACTCATGTGTCGAAACTACACTGGCAGGTACTCCAACTGAGATGACGCCACGTAGTACGTGTTGTTTTGCCCAGTGAATGAGTCCCAGCTGGGATTTGCCCTATTTGAGAGGGAAAAAAGCACCTAAAAGCCTTGTTAACCAGGAATACTCATCACTTACCTGGCGCGGGGTCCAAGAAGGCTTCCGTAGACCAGAGCCCCAGAGCGCTGCGCTCGGCGGGACTCACTGGGAACTGGGAACTTGGGATTTTCATCCCCGCAAAAGCTGTACTCGTCAGCGGCTCCTCTTTCAGCGTTTTGAAGTGATCAATTCTTGGCTCTGGTGGGCAATCATCTGAAGTAATCATTAGGGCACCGGGCACAACTCATGAAGCCACCGAAACCCGGCCCAACCATGCTGGAGCTTCTGAGACAAAAAGTTTGGATGTTCAACCCATCCAAGGCTACTTGGATTTGCCCTGTGTAGGGCTTTGCAAATGGCAGTGGATCTGCGAACTCTGCTCCTCTGGCTATAAGTGGAACCGGGGCAAGCGCGCCCCACCAACTCAACCACCCGATTCGCAGCCCGCCGCGTTGCGCTTCGATGCCCGATGCCCAATTTTTGCCTGCGCCATGATGCTCTGCCCCGGCTCCCCGGGCTTGCCGGCGATGATGGGCAGGGCCGCCGCCTCTCGTGTCTGAGATGCACGTTCGCGCGCGGCACCCTGCGGGTTTGAGGGGAGCCCAGGAGCCAAGAGGAACACCGAAATCTCGGGCCAAGAGCCGCCTACTGACACATACCCGAATGCATCTCCGCGAGGAAATCCCCCAAAAGACCTGGGATCGCCAATCGAAACGCAACATACTGCGCTGCCAAGCTCGGAGCTTTATCGCGAGACTTGGTTTGAAGTGGTGGTTGGAAGGTAAGGGATGCTTTCCCATGTCCCTCTACAAGAGTTGTCACAAATTAAGGGTTGCTCCAAACGTCGTCAACTCCTCAGTCCCAAATGGTAGTGTTTCAGCCGCACGAAAGGAGAACAGGGTGCCTTTAACAAAATAGATCACCCGATTCACAGATGCTCCGAACTTGGAGAAGAAAAAGAAAAGAAAAGCCTCAACCAGCGAGATTCTCCCAAAACCTACCGTCTAACTCGTGGCGTCGTGGCGCAGGAACTGGCTCCACTAAACCCGCCTGTACCTTGGACGGCTTCACATAGCCCACCTCGTAGATGCCCTGTGCCGAGCTTGGAGTCATTCAGGGCTCGAACTTCCAATATGGTCTTGCAGGGCTCAACACCTCTGTCCAAAGGGGATTTCCCCTCCAAGAAAACAGTCGCCAACCCCTCCCCCCAATTCAAAGTTGAAAAGAAACGCAAGCATCCATCGATGCAAGGATCAAACTTTCGAACGTAACCCTTCATAAGAGGGGATTCCCAAAAGCATCACAGAAGTGGTTGGATAAATTCTCCGAGTGATCCCAGAACGGGGGCATTCCCACGTCGAAACGGACCCCGAGATCTCGCATCCGATCCGATCCGATCCGATCCGCCTGGAGGAGCGCTTCGCTGAACCCGAAGTTCGTGAAGCTGCGGGGGAGGCCGATCCGCGAGCCGATGCGAATCCGCCGCCACCCCCCACTTGGTGTCATGGGGCCGGCCTTAAGACCTCATGCGTTCCCCCCCGAGCCCCCACTTGATGGTTGCTTTGTAAGCGTCCTTTCTCTCCCCAAGAAGTGGGTGCATGGGACAAATGTCCAGGTGCATCCCACCCAGGGAATCAATCTACTGGCGGCATTCATGCCTTACCTGACTTCCCTGTTGAGGCGGTATTTGGTCAGTGGTGTAGTAATGTTGCTCTAACAGGGTGGCTGAATGTGGAAAACCATTGCCTAGTCCACTTATGATTGTTGTGGGCTCATAAATTCTCATATTCATGGGCCAACCTGGTTTTTGGGTGTTGTACACCCAAGGCAAGGTCCTTGACAGGCGGAAGAGAGCAAGAGAGAGGGGAAAAAAACAAAAACAAAGGCAAAAGTGGTGCCCAGTGAAAGTATGATGGACCCTGACAAGGCTTCATGCAATATCCCAGGCGTACGTGATCCGACGCCCCAGCCAGGGGTAGCTGCCTCTACTTGCCATGAGTGAGTGCTGTTGCTTTGGGAGGGCTTCTGTTCGTTCATCTTTATCACTTCCTGAGCGGATTGGCCACAAAAAGTAATAAACCTCTTCGTTTGCTGAAATCGTCCAAGCCCAAAGAGTGACTCAAGTCCGAAGCGGAGCTCATTCGGCTCCTGAGTGAGACACTCAATACCTGGGCTCAAGGCCCTGAGCCATAGACCCGTTGACCCACAGACCCGTCGACCCGTCTCAGACAGGGTCCGGACTTCTCACTCTCCGCGAGGACCAGGTTCTCCCCCCCATCCTGCCGCCACGAGAACCAAAAAATGCCCTTGCAAGATAGTGAGTGGCGGGTAACCTGACGTTTTTTAACCCCCACTTGCACCTGGTTGTTTGCCTCAGTCTGGGGACATAGTGGGTAAGTTGTAGTTTGGGTTTCTAATTAGTTGGTTTAATATTTAAGTGCTTGCGAGCCTCTTGTTTGCTACAGCTCATATAAGAAGCTTGCAAAAGGGTTCTACCCGAATTACCCATTCCAAAATAATCCAAGATAACCAAGTTTCATCTAGAAATAGCATAGAATAGGGTGATTCCCATAATCCCAAGGTGTAGTAGGAAAGCCCTTGGACAATTGACAACGGTCAAAACACGCAGCTACCCTAAGAGTCATGGAAAATGCGGGTTTATGCGTCCCCGCGCTTGTGCAATTTAGTGAGCCCCTCATGTCCCTCAAAAGAACTTTTTAAGATCTCTACCTTGGCCGAACCAGCTGTCTCTCCCTGCCCCTGAGATGTCGTGGAACTGTAGCCTGATCACAAACCATATGAAAGCGTGAAAGTGGACGCAAAGGGGGAACACGTGACTTGCCAAAACCTGACCGACCACAAGGACCAGACGTTTTGGGCATGTGATTTGGCCGTTCCCCTATTCCAACCAGGACAACCTCCAGAGCGCACAATTGGGTGTCCCTTTTCTTGAGGGCGCCCATTTCGTTTTTTTTTGGAAAAGGGACACCACAAGGAAAAACCACCTTTTGTTGACGTCCCCGAAGCAAAAAACAGGACTCACCCAAACACCCAACTCCTGCGCTTGCCATCGGCCAGATCGATCCAACGCGACGCGAAAAAATCCCGCGGTCCCAGTCGAGGCTCTGCATGAACTGCACAGTGGCTCCTTCCTCGCAGAAGGGCAAAAACGCATTGGCACCCAATTGGTTGTGTCCATAGGTGTGCTTTTTGGGAAGATAGATGGCCCTGGTAGTTGATTAAACCACCAGGCAAACCGGGGCCCTCTATTTTTCAACCAAATCAACCAAAAAGGACACCTATGGTTGTGTCTTTTTCGAGGTTGGAGCCCAGTTGGGTCCCCTTAAGTGGTGGGCTTTCCGTTGGCTTCCCTTTCAAACCACCAAAAAAAAGAGGCCCAGTTGGAACCCCCTTAAGTGGTGGGCTTTCCGTTGGTTTCCCTTTCAAACCCCACAAAAAAAAGGGGCACCCCAATTGCCGCTTGTGTCCACCAACATGGGCATAAAGGTGCTTGTGACCGAGCTATCATCCCCAAACCAGGCAGTGGAACCTACCAAAACGAGCAGTTGGAGTTTTGGGCGCTCAGGTTGGTTTCCTGTTATCTGACTCGTGGGCAACCTGGGGCATGGGATTTTCGGCCGGATTGAGCCTGAAGGCCTTACTCGAGGCCCTGTTCAGCAGTGCAAAAAGTGAAAGAAGAACTTGCTCAGCAGGGAATGACAGAGCCCAGGTGTTGAGAATGAATCTATTCCCTTGAAGGAAACCATAGGAATTGTTTACAGGGGTCATCCCCTCCTTCCCGAGCACCAGCCAAAAGAGTCGGGACACCTCCAGAGTCCGGTTCGCTCGAGAATCTTCGCCGCGGATCTGGTCATCCGTCCCAGATCCCAACCAAAGGAATCCCTACAACCTGGAAGGTCGCAGCGCGTCGCAGGGTTACCCGCAAGGTGAGGGGCGGGGAAAATCATGGTTAGCTTTCCTCGAGCTGATGGTTGGTCAGAAATCTACTCCACTTACCAGACCTGAGCATCCAATGTCTCAGGTTGCCTCTCAGGTTACCTATGGGCTGGACCCTGATTTGGCTTGCAAGCCTGCGTTGTTTCTCACCCAAGTGGCTTGAACCTGCGATCTGCTGTCCCCTGAAAAAGCCAACGATGGAAATAAGTAGAACATGTATTCTCTAGCAAACGGGAAGCACCCCACCCGGCCAAAGCTTGGAAGCCCGTCCTCGCCCGTCAGCCCGGAGGCCTGCTGTCGGCCTGAGAGATCCGGGCGCCAGCGCGAGGGCGGTGTCTTACTTTGACATTTTCCTTCGGCGACAAGAATCATGGGGACCGGGCATGCAAGCACATGACGGACGACCGCGCACTTCTAGTCTTGTACTCATCTAAGCAAGAATCTTTCAAAGCTTTGACCACATCCGCATGGAGTGAACGGATGTAACCACAGAATAGAAGGAAAAATGCAGGGGCGGCCCCCGCTGTTTTCACCAAAGTGAAGTGTGTGAATTCTTTGCTGGTAAGGAGGAATGAACTTTCCCATCCCAAAAGGCGGGCACCGGGCCTCAATAAATAGAGCACATTGCCAATGTGGACCCCGGTCTCCATAACTTTGGTTTGTTCCATAGGGTTCACCGCGCCTATTTTCGAACTTCATCCAGCCCCGAACGAGTGGGGAGGGAAGCAAAATTGCAAAGAAGGCAATGCTGACTGTGACATCTGCTGGAACCCGAGCTGCACGGACACAAGTCGGTCAACCTCCTGCAACCCCAACTCAAAACACAGGGGAAATTTGGCACCCCGAGAGCATATTCGCAGGTTGTTTTTGTTTGGCTTCACTTCAAAGCAAGACCCAATCGGAAGGGTACCATCAATGAAAGAGAGGGTTCCTTACATGGGTGTGTTTTTTGGTAGGGGACCCCTCCAAAATAGTGGTTGTCCTTTTGGGTTCCCTTAACAACCATCAAACAAGGGGTACCCCACCATCTTGTGTCCCCTTAAATCTCGCCCCTTCAAACGGAAGCTCAATCAATGTTGGCCCAAAGGTGAAGTGTGAAGCTTTCCACAGGGAACACGCGCTCGCACCTGTCCAAGGCCCACCCCCAATCCTGGGACCCGTTTGGGGGGATTTCACGGACCCAAAAAAGGACAAGTCACAATCGTTCGACGAAAGGTTCCACTCAAGCCATCTCCATCTCTGCTGACTGAACCTCCGAGTTCCGAAGCGAACTGACCCGAATTGAACCAGGATCCACACGCCTTTCCCAAAACCCCTCTTCTTTGCCCGAAGGACAATGGCATCCCAAATCTCTGCACTGACCTGCCTGCCCCGTCCGCAGACTCCTCCAAGCGGTTGAGGGGAGGGGAAAGGAGGATCGGACAAAAGGACAACACACACACACACACAAACCACACAAACCACACACACACACAAAGATGCCGTACCAAACAAGCTGGTTCTCGAGAGATGCTCTTCTTCGGAATTGTTTCAAAAAGCCTGCAACGAAAAAACACGCCTCTTTGACTAGGTGCCAAGTAGAGTTCTTGTCAAAGATCGGAGCAACGGGGCGTGGGGTTGTCGTGGCAACGAATTGGTAAAACGCCATGTACCCAGCGGTTTGGATGTTCAAACTACCTGTCTCGTTTCCTCACCAAACCGACTCGCTTTCTGTAATGGCTGCGACTCGACTAAGGCGGGCGACTTCCTTTCGGGCAACCATGTCCCGACCCAAAAAAAAAACAGCTGCACGCCGGTTGAAGCGCCGGGAAGAGGGGCTGAGCCGTTGCGTGTGAAGAAGCCGCTCTGCCGGCTTTGGGAAATTCCAGGATTAGCACGCAAGTTGAATTTGAAGGGACCCCTTGGTTGACAGCAAAATCTAGAGGGGATTGATGTCCACCCACTTTTTTATGGCCGGATACACTCCGAACATCCGCCTGGTTTTACACAAAAAAAAACAACGGGGTCGACAAATCAAACCTCAACTCATCGGCACTTCGATGGCCCGGATATCCGACTTTCGGACCCTCGGGTTTTCGCCCAGCTCAAGTCACGTGGGGTGAAAAGGATCAGAATTGGGCCCAAGTGAACGTACTGGCGGGTTATAATCTAGGCGACTAATTAACCACTTGCCAACTTGGCCGAACACCGAAAACTTTATGGTAAGGCCCTTTATTGTACACCCAATTGCAAGAGTCAGAGTGGTGCCAGATCTCTTCTAACTTGCTGCTTCTCAGTCTGCAATCACAGGCCGTGGGCATCCCAAAGCTCCCCCTCTGGGGAAACCGCGAGGCATGGTTCACTTCGGACACATTGGGACTGCGAGAACTGGTGAAGAGGGAGTCACAAAAAGGGTCAATGCCATGCCCAGGCTTGGAGCTTCATTTGGGTGCGGAAAAAAAAATGGGATTGATTTTTCTTTCTTTTGGGATTGTTTTTTTTCCGGATTTTGTCGGGAATTGTCCACTTCATTTTCAATCGGGGAGGTTCCCTAGGGTTCCCTGGCACGGAACCGATCCGAACTCGCTCCACCGTCAGCCGGCTTTCTGATCGGAAAGGCGCTTTCTCCTGCCAGCTAGCGGCAGGCGCATGGGCGACATCCTGCGCGCTGGCGGAGGTGGATGCGTTCGTGTTTCTTACTGGGTCCCTACTGTGGATGGACGACATCCATTTCGCACCACTTTGTGCAAGACTTCGTCCATCCACAGTGTGGCAGAGTTGCCCTTGACATCTACATGGCATCCACCAGCGGTGGATGACGGACTTGCTGACCAACTTGAGGCCGGGGAATGGACAAGAAAGCTCGCGTCCGCGCAGGGGCGACGCGCAGCTTCCGAGGAAGGACCGAACAAGAACACTTGCCAAAGTGCTTGACAGCCCTGTGTCCTAGGGGGTTCCTTGCTTCCGGCGAAAGGCGATTTCAAGGAGCACTGCGCAAAACACCCGGCAGAGTGCAACACGGAACGCATAAGTTCGAAGAGAGGGGAACACAGCGGAGCGCAGAGCAGAGCGAACAGCAGAGCGAACGGCGGAGCGAACGGCGGAGCGAAGAGGGGAGCGAAGACTGGGCGAAGTGGAGAGAAGAGCAGAACCAACGGTGGGGAGAACTGGCCTCATGATTCTACCATCAAAGTCATCCCCATGGTGGGTTAGAGGGAAACAACCCATGTTCTGACTTTGATAACCCCCAGAAACAGTCAAAGTAGTGACTCCTGGAGAAGAGCCGAGAGAAGACGGAAGCCTCGAGCCTGCGGAGGAAATGGGGCGCCATTCTGAGGTGCCCGTCAAGGAAATGTCATCCGAAGCCAACTTCTTGGATAGCGCGCAAGAAATGATATGGCATAGGAATGTGGGAATCACTAGCCCCATTGCTTGAGACAGCAATGGAGACTCTAACAACCTTTCCTGACTGCCACTAAAAACGACTCTAACAATCAAATAGGTCACGAGTCATAACTAAAACTAGACTTCCAGTCCAATTGTTTGCTTTGTCCCTTACATCCTGAGATTTATGACACCGGTGTTGTTTTTTCAACTTGGTGCGAAGATGATCATTTTCCTGACAAGTGATCAAACAAAACAAAAAAGGGAGTATTGTTTTGTGTATTGTTCATATTTCGATACTTTTTTTTTCGCTTTTCCCCTCCCCCAACCCCCTCCAACCAAAAATTTTGCCGGCTGGCTGTCCGGCGGGCCTTGAAATTTTCGGGGTTCTGCCCATCCAGCAACCCGCCCAAGCACAGCCCAGCCCAGCCCGCCCAGCCCAAGTTCCAGGTGTAATGAGCAGCGTAGTCCGGCTGCCCGGCAGGGCTTCGCAGCCTTGTGGACCTCAGCCCAGCCTGCCCAGCCCCGGCGCATCTCAGGGCATGCCAGCCACTAGGCCGGCCCCCAGCTCCCAGCCCACCAGCAAGCCAAGGTCAGTCCCTCAGGCCCAGTCCCTCAGCTTGGCGTGTCTATTGGGGATATTTTCCGGGGTACTTAAGCAAATGGAGGTTTGTATTCCCACCATGTACCTGTCTTGGGCTGAGCAACCGAGCAAGAAATGTATGTCATGGCAAGCCGCCAGCCACGTGAAATGGAGGTGCCCAAACACCCAAAGTTGGTCTTGGTTGTTCAGTGACACCAATTATTGTTCCCCTTTTTATGGAGGCCAAGCCCCACTAAAAATGCTCATCCCCAGAAAGAGGTCCTTTTTTTTCCAAGGGCACTGAGCAGCTGAGATAGTCTTGGTTTTGGATTTCAAGCCTTCCGAGCAGGACGGCTTCCGAACATCGAACTAGCACGGGCGAACTGGTGCGGTCACAAGCTTTCAGTAGGATTCGGACCTTCCCAACACTGGATTTCGGTGTTCCTGACCCTTCCCTCAAACTAGGCTGGGCCGAGGCGGGCAACGCGAAGCGTTTACAATTTTAATAGCAGGCAGGCACCCCCCATCTAACTACCGCCCCGCGAGGTTTTCGCCTCCCGACTGCCCTCCTTGAGCCACTCGCTGGGCCCTTGAGCGCCTTCCTGACACAAAAGAGAGATCCAATCCGTCGAGGGTGGAGAGGTCAAAACGGGGGACGTACGGGTCTCAAATGGGTCCGTGCTACGTACGGGGCCCAACAAACTGCGCCGGTTCTCCTCTTGCTTGCCCCTGGGGTAATTACCCACGGAGACCCTCTGTTGATGTTGGCCCCAAAGAACTCAGCCCCAGGTTTATGAAGAAGGGGTTGTCCTGGGGCGCACCCCCCAGAGTTGATTGATCGGGGGTCAACACTAGTCTGAAGGGGCCCCAAGAAAAGGGTCACTTCTTGGCTTTTCTGGGGGTATGCATGGAGACCTTGAGGGAATCAAACTCGGGAATACAAGCCGGAGTCTTGGACACTCACGCAGAATCTGGGATGCTCACTACCTCCAAACATCCCCGCCAAAAGGAGAAGTCCTTGGACTGGCCCGAAAGGGCCATCTGTTCAAAGTCAAAAGGAAGGAATCATGTCAAAGGAGCCTTCGAAGCTGCACCGGTTCAACAAGTTTGCGCATGTCTTTGAGAATAACCTTCTTTGCCAGACCTCCCTGGATTGCCCCAAAAAACAAAAGTTAACCAATATTTACTGGTGACTTCCCCTGAAACCCTCGATCCTCTTTTGGAGGCTCAAGCAAGAACAATTGAAAGACCCCCTGACAACTACAAGGTCCAACAGGTCGATGGCAAGTGAGAGCAACAGGCTAGGATCCCAGAGTCGCCTTTGGGCGCCTTTGAGTGCAAACCCCACCTGCCAAGAGGTCCCGTAGGAGGCATAGGCGGCCTTGCGGATGGCGGGCGAGCGACTTGGAAATGGAGTCAGCAGCAAGTCAAGTCAGTTAGAAATCAAGCAATGAGCTCAGGTGATATCCCCAACAGCATGCGCTGCTCTTTTAGCGCTCGCGCCACCCCGCAGCCCTCGCAGAACCCTCGTGGAACCCTGGTGGAACCCTGGTGGAACCTTACCTCAGCCTTGGGTGCCATACTCCCAAGAATCCGGGTCTCTTCTCTCCCTTCTCGACCGGATTCAATAAAGCCGCCTCCCCGTTGCCGTCCTTGCCGCTCCACGTTCCTGCCATTCACAATCACGGGGGAGAAAAAAAAATGTGTGCTCACCCAAGCGCAAAGCTGCCATTTTGACACACATCCATGTATATATATATATACACGCAAATAGAGGGTTGAAGATCACACTTGATCTGTCCTGAGAAGCCGCATATGGAGTCTTGGCCTGCACCACACGTCGCAAACCTTGCTAAAATATCCGGCCGCCCGAAAGCTTTCAGCTGGCTGTGGGGCCTGAAGAAACGGCTGGTCCAAAGGACAGAATTTTCTGGTGATGAGAAACCTCCGTTTGAATCTGAATTTTATTTCGTGACCCGTTTTTGGACATCAGACTTCGCTGGGGATCCATGTCCACCAACCACTTTGGAGGGGTTCCCTAGTAAAACTTATAGCCATTGTGCGATCCCTTTGCAATCCGTTGGCAAATGGCCGCCCATGTCCCTCCCCCCCTCCCCTGCCCGCTTGCGATGTGCAAAACTTAAACCCAGCCAGTCAGAAAAAAAACAGAAGAAAAACCACTTTCTACCTGGAGTCTCCTTCTGACCCGAATCAAAAAAGGGTCCATGACCCCGTTATTTTGGTAATGACCAACCATGTTTAAAGGGTCAGAAGGAGAATCCAGGAACAACCAAAATCCGCCAGAGGTTTGCAGCGCTTGGGACCTCAAAGGAACCGCAACTTTCCTGGGTGGCTTGGCTCAACTTACCGCGTGCCCCACTCCCACTCCTCCTCCCCAGCTTTCCTGGCCGGGAAAAAGAAGCGAACAGACATCGGCCAAACCAAAATTTGTGTCTCTTTTAGGGTGGTGGTCTGCAACCCTTTTGGTCTGCCCCAACCAGAACACCCTCAAGGACACCCTCAAATCCGATCAAAACACCGGAGAACGAAACAGGCACCAGCCTTCGGAAAGGAAGCATCCCAGGCTTCCATTGTGACAGAGCCACTCAGTGCCTTTTAAAAGCAGGGCATTCTTTAAGACGGGTCTTGTTTTTTTTGAACCAAGTTGAAACTGGCAAATGCTTTGAACCAAGTTTTCAGTTCCCGGTCCACCCGTGTGGCTCGTCAATGCCTTTTAAAGGCATGGATCCACTGGCAAATTGGAGGATAGGTTCGAGCTGGATGTCTGGGGAGTTCAGGAGGAGACCACCTATTTCTTTCTTTCGGGGCTCACAGCAGTTGGAGATATTTCCCACACTAACATGCTCTACATTGGTGGCCTGGTGGTTTTTCCAGAGGGGCTTCTCCAAAAGAACCAGAAATTCAAGCCACCAACTGGGGATATATATCGCGATGCCTCAAAATCCCGAAGCCAAATCGTAGCCCCAGTAGTGAACCTCCGAGTCAGTCCAACCCACTAAAATAGGCTCTACAACGGGTGGTGAATTCACCTAGCAACCAAAGACTGGGATCCCAAACGGTTTTGACCCACAGCCATATCCCACACTAACATGCTCTACAGTTGCAAGTGTATGCAAGTGTATCAGATACACGAGCAAACGAATATACACCTTCACGCAGCCTGTTCCCAACCACAGCCAAACCACACACACTTAAACTCCAGATGGAGGGTGCTAATCTTTCGAGTACAACTGATGAGTCTCGAGTACAACTGATGAGTCTCGAGTACAACTGATAAGTCACTCATCGTTCGAGTACAACTGGTGAGTCTCGAGTACAGCTGGGGTTCAGCTGGTTTTGGAGAAAAGGGCAAAAAGGGGACCTTTGTTTGGGGTGGGCCCGCCAGCTGCCATGACAATGGCCCAGGCGCAGCCCCGCAGGTACGTTTGGACCCGGACACCGGGGGGCGTCTTCGTTGGCTGGAGACCCCCCGGGCCGGCTCCAGCCCCCTGCTGCGGTGGAAAAAGGTGGATGGTGGCAGGGTAATCTGCCACTCCGCACACACACGCCCCTCAGTGAGGGGCGAAAAGTCTCTTTTTCGGGGGGAAGAAGAAGCGCCCGAAAGACGGACGAAGACCCCAACAGAAAACAAACGGAGCAAGAACCCAAAAGGAACAGAAAGGCCCCACGTTGGGTCTCCGCGGGCAAAACCCCAACCAAGAAACACGAAAAACGGGAAACCGAGTTTAGGGTCACCGCCGAGGGCAAAGAACCCCAAACAGTCCAGAAACCCTCCTAAACCTTGTAGACAAAGAGCACCGCGAAGTTGAAGAACGACACCACGAACACGCCATCCCTAAACGGGCGAAGAGGAACAACCGGAAGTAGTAGGGAAAGGGGAGAAGAAAAGAAGGAGAGAGCGAGAAAGAGAGAAAGAGAGAAAGGAGGAGAAGGGCCGAGATGCGTATTTAGGGCGCCGCAGCCCGCCCGGGGGAAGGAGAAAGGAACGCAAGGGAGAGAGAAGAAGAAGAAGGAGAGAAAAGAAGACAAAGGGAGCGAGATGCGTATTTAGGGCGCCGCAGCCCGCCCGAGGAGAGGAGAAAGGAGAAAAAGAAAAGGAAGAGGGAAGTAGTATGCGTTTTTAGGGCGACGCATCCCGCCCAGACAGGAAGAGAGGATGAAGTCCAAAGCTCGAGGAGGAAGACGACGAATCCCACACAGGGGCCAAGAGGACGAACACGAAATAGCAACGGAAGGGGAAGAAGACGTCAAGCCAAACTACGTGAGGAAGAAGAGGAGTAGGAACAGGAAGACGGACACGAAGACGACGACGAGGAAAAAGGTGAACAACGCGAGGACAACCAGGCCATCCCTAAGCGGGCGAACAGGAGGAGGGCGAACGCGCGGGTCACGAAAGGCAGCAGGAAGAGAACGGGAGGAAGGAGAAGCCATCCCTAGGCGGGCGAAGAACCAGAAGACGGGCACGCGGAACACGAAGGCGAGAAAAAAGAACGAAGGGTGAAACGTAGCTATGAAGAGGTGGCTGTCTTCCCTTTAGTGAAACCTCGATCCTGGTTAAATGTGAAATTCCGCTGGTCTATGATAAGCACGCTGAGGTCAAATTTTCCGACAGAGCCGGCCCGGGGTCACACAATGGGTACACCCGAGGATTCCCCACGAATGGGGTGTACACACTTAAACTCCAGATGGAGGGTGCTAATCTTTCGAGTACAACTGATGAGTCTCGAGTACAACTGATGAGTCTCGAGTACAACTGATAAGTCACTCATCGTTCGAGTACAACTGGTGAGTCTCGAGTACAGCTGGGGTTCAGCTGGTTTTGGAGAAAAGGGCAAAAAGGGGACCTTTGTTTGGGGTGGGCCCGCCAGCTGCCATGACAATGGCCCAGGCGCAGCCCCGCAGGTACGTTTGGACCCGGACACCGGGGGGCGTCTTCGTTGGCTGGAGACCCCCCGGGCCGGCTCCAGCCCCCTGCTGCGGTGGAAAAAGGTGGATGGTGGCAGGGTAATCTGCCACTCCGCACACACACACACACACACACACAACTCGTGTCAAGCAAACATAGGTGCCAACAAAAGTACACAACAAATCAAATGGATCGTGAACCAGCCCTGCGAATCGGCCATGTAGTAGTCTAAGGTTCTAGCAGGGCCAATAAAAAGCTTGCCGGTGCGATCAGTAGGGAATGTGGTTGAATGGACCCAGGGATTCCCGAACAAAGGAAACTACCCGTTGGATGGTTTTCTAGGGTCCTCCAACCCTCCCCAAAAAAAGGGGTAAAAGGGCACTACTGGGGGACCTAGTTTATAAGGGTCACTCCATTTCTCATTTCCCTGCATCTCTCGCAGCAAGAGAAACGACCCCCGTCGCCGCTTATTGCCAGGCCTCAGCTTGCCACTGCCTCGGGCGGAGTGTTGGGAGTTGGGGGCCCTCGGGTTGAACGGTTGCCCCAATTGAAACGTCTGGGTATGTATCCAAGTAGGACCCCCAAAATGGGGGGGGTCCAACCAAGCAACAATGGCATCCTCAAAACACAAATCTAAAAATATGTACAAGCGTCGGGCTGGCTTTCAACAGCCTCATGTTGGTTGCCCAAGATTGCCAGGGTCTGGTGGTTTAAACACATTGTGCAAACCCTGGTACTCAGCAAATGCCATCAGACCCCGGCGCGTCAGCACCATTGTACCTGGCAGAGAAATCCCTGGCAGGGGCTGCAAGGCTGCCCAGTAAGGGGTCACTGGATCTTGGGGAAACCCTTTGGGAACTTGGGGTGAGGGCGTGACAACAAGCCGACCCCTACTTGGGGGCCCGATTTGTTTTGCGTTCTTTCGTTCTTCTCTCTTTCTCTATCTCTCTCTCTCTCTCTCTCTCCCCCTCTCTGGCTGCCCCAACATGGTGGTTTTCCACAAGTTGCGCCCTCAAACAAAGACACGCCCCCTCTCTTGTTTTTTTGGTGGAAACACCAACATCCCCGATTTCCGAATTCCAGGTCACTGCTCGAAGCCTGGTGGCATAGGCAGTGCTTCTTTCCCTGGCGGAGGCCAAAAGCAGAAAGTCTTCCCGCCCAATACCATGGACGGTTGCGAAAACCCCACTTTGAAACCATGGGAAACCCATTGTTGGTCGGTATTTACAGGGGGAACCAGCATTCCAGGCTTTCTCAGGTGGTGCAGGATTTCGTCTATCCACCGTAGGGTTGGTTCCCTGACAGTCATGCAGCCTGATACAGCTGCCTTGGTCTCTTTAAACTCGAAATAGGGATAGCTGCTGGCGATACATATACAACAGAGACTTTCCGATAACCAAAAACATAAAGGGATAGGCCTGGTGTTGCAATACAGGCCCTTCACCTCTTCATCCGCCAGGTCTGATGTTCCTCTTATGGACCTTGAAATATATCAGTGACTTCCTGGCTCTTGTGGCTGCAGGTGAGAGTGAGTCCCAAGTCCCAAAACAGACTAGCTGTTTTGCTTAGTTTCGCAATCATCGATACCTTCCTCTCCTCTCTCCAATCCGCCTTTCTAGCTACCTAAATACTGGAAACGGTTTGCCCTACAAAGCAACCTTGTATGATGGTCATGATGTGTAAAATCCCTAGGTTGATGACCATCCCAAGTCCTTTGACCATGGCGCAGGAAACAAACCCATCTGGCCATGGGTCAAAATCCAAATCGTACCCCCAGTGAACATCCCAATCCCCACTAAAATAGGTTCTAAAATGGGTGGTGAACTCACCTACCCCAAAATGGTACCATTGGTTCGACAACTCACACTTCCCAAGATGCTGCCCAGACGCCCACAGCAGCACTCGCCATTGGCTCCACTAAGGCCAATGCCTCGATCTGTCCTTCTGAAGCCTTGTGACAAGCTTGACGTTCTTAAGCGCACCTGTTGCGGTCGCTTTGTTTCAGGAAAAGCCCAGACCCCAACACCTCTATTTTCTATGAGACTTGGGGAGGCCTGCTGACGGCTTCTTACTCCAGAGACTGTCAAACTCCCCCGAAAAACTTACTGCCAGGGCAACTCAAAAACCATAAAACAAAGACAAGGACACCTGAGATTTGTTTGTTGGGCAAGTATAACAAATACAAAAAACACTTCCGCCTGCGGAGAAAACCTGCGGGGTTTCTTGCCCGGCTTTTGGGACTCGCGACTGCGGCTCGCGCGGCTCGAGCCAGGAGGATCGATCGCAACCGCGATGGTTAAGACGTCGATGTCTCAAACTTGCTGCTCAGTGGGGAATGACAAGTGCGGGTGTGGGGGTTGTGAACCGTTGGGGGATTCACCTATAAAACCATAGGGGATGGCGAAAAAGGGGGGGGCATTCCCTAAAAGTCAAGTCTGAGGGTAAGGTTGGGAACTGAGTTATGCGCCAAGCTCCGCAACGGATGGAAGTGCTGAGAATGAACCCGTGGCGAAGGAGATGCAAGCAGCTTGAAGCCGCGAATACCATGTATCCATCTTCACATTAGGACAACTCACATGCGACACACACGGAAAAAGAACGCGTGGCGGTGTGTGTGTTGCCAGAATTTGTCAAACGGGCGTAAATCATGCTCTCTGCCTCAGCACTCTCGTGGCACGCTTCCTAAGATCAGCGAGCAAAAAGCAAGCAAATTGCTCGGCTCAGAACATATTGGGGAGTGTGTACAAAGCTGTTTTGGTCATCTATGGGCCGTGGTGTAGGCCAGAAGTAGACAAATCGGTTCGTCAGCTTTGACTTACAGCTCAATCTGGCCCGAGCTTCTGAAAACTGCAAGAGGGAGAGTTACCAGGGGGGTGGGTAGCTGAGAACCCTATTTTTTGGGGGGTTGTTCAGGGAGCCTGAGAAAGCCTTACCCCCCCCCCCCGCTGGACCCCCGACTACAAATTAAACAGGTGTGGGGGCAACCACTAAAATTGGGGCTGTGGTTTGGTTGGGTTGAATGGAAACCAAAGGGAACACTGTTCCAAATTCCTTCTATTCTCAATTCAGCTTTCCCCCAAGTCCCAGTCAGAAATCCCCCCAGGCGTGAAAGGGATTCTGAATTGGGATAAAATACTGTCTGCATGATGATTGGTACGGGGTGGGTTTCGTGCAGATCTTGATTTCTTGAGGATATGGCTGTGGGTCAAAACCAATGGCACCATTTTAGTGGTGATTGGGATGTTCACTGCGGGTACGGGATTTTGACCCATGGCCATATGACGAAGGGTTGGGCAACTTGGTACCCCTGCCCCCTGGCCAGTATGTTTGAACGGTTGATTGGCCCTGCCGCACACTGCCGCAAGCGGCATCCGCAAAAAAAGACTCCCGTTAAAAACAAAGTGCTTCGCGCAAAGTGCCCCACCCCGCCAACCAAAACAGCGCAAAAACAACCTTAAAACAAAAGCAGTGGTTCGCAAAGTGTCCCACCCCGAGAAAAAATAAACCAAACAAAACCAATGAACACGCGTTCCTCGCGAAGCGACCTGACGCTGCAAATTTGAGCCCCTCTCCGGTCTTGGACTTCCGCGGTTCCGCTTCACGCCGCGTTCTCGCGCTCTCGCGCAACGAGCAAAGGCCTCCCCAGCCTTTTTGACAGCGAGCTCGAAGCTTCGTTGACCCGTTGTTGGGGGGTAGTGAGAGCAGCCATGATCCACTGCCCCAGAACTCCCTCGCTGGTTTCCTCCGAGCAAGACCCCAGGCCCTTGTTGAAACCAACAGAGTTTGGGACCCAAACTTTGCAGTATTTGCAAAGAGGCGAGCAGCACTTGAACCTCCCTGCGCCCCCTATAAGGAGAAAAAAGGAAGCATGGAATTTGCGAAGCGTGCAATCTGCAAGTTCCACAATGGTTCAAGGGGGCCAAATCCTTGCTCTTTCTTCGTGTGTTGTTTTGAGGGTACCCCCTTTTGTGGGGGAGGTGAAACGGAACAACCCACCAATCAAGCAGTCATACAAGTGGGCGGAATGCAACTTATGCCTCAAAGCAGGCATCAGATCCTAAGATTTTCCACGAACAAGTCTCCTTTTGGTTTCCCTTTAAACCACTAGTACCCCAAGCCTACAAATCATGGGTGTGTCTCTTCAACTTCGAGCCGGCGAGTGCCTTAAGCGCGGGCTTCGGACGCGTCTGCGGGCTTCGGAGCGTGGAATTGAACGCCGAAGGCTTTGGACACATGAGGTCTTTTGGAGTACCCCCGAAATGGGCTTGGTTTGAAAGGAAGACAAAAACGGATTGAAACAACCATGGTTTAAGTTTTTTTTCTTTTGGACACGTCGGAGTTCGAGTGGACCGCACTCTCACAGACATCCCCGAGCCCAGGACGGCCCGAAGGAAAATATTGGCTCGTCTGACCTTTTCTAGCACCGCTTTCACAACGGTGCTGCCTACTGGGTGGCCTGGTCAAGCGAACGTGGAGCTCTCTTTGTTTCATGTCTGGAACCCCTTAAAAGTTGTGTTTTACATGCGGCAGCCATCCCCGAAAAGGGTAGCCACTGACACCAAAAACACAACTTGCAGTGAAGCAGTCCAGGCAGGCGCAGGAACAGTCCTTTTCAAATTGAAGAACCCCCCCCATCAAAGTGGCAACTCTACATGTGTGGTCCGGCCCAAGGAAAATGTGGGTTCTGAAAAACTTCGGTATTGGGGATCGCGCCCGTCCCTTGCTGAACCAGGCCACGCTTACAACTGCTTGCGCGCCTTTTTTGCAGCAAGCCTGCCCCGAGCAGCTGTTTAAGCTGTGTGCCGTGCTCGCCAGCGCTCGCGAAATCCGACGAGCACCTGGCCGTGGTTGCTCCCATCAGTGCTTGGAGAGCCACCCCCCCAGCTGAGAAGTCCAGGTTTTCCCCACAAAACCGGACTTGGGACTCAACCAGGGATGTCAACCACTTGCCTGACGCGTGGTTTCATTCGGCATTCCGAGCAAAGCCCAAGCAGGGGAATACCACTCAGGGGTCCCGTTGCGCTTCTCGTGGCATCCCTCCACTTTGAAATTGTCCCACATGTCCATGGCTTCCGCTTCCCAAAGGCTGAGCCCTAGGACGCTGCTTGGCGTGCCCCGGGCGTATTCCGGTAGGTATGGATGTGGAGGTGACGTGCCTCTTGCTCAACGGGGGAATTGCTGCCGCGAAAGCTGAGTTTGGTATGATGCCTCCACATACCTGGCAACTCGAACGCAGGCAACTCATCCAACCAGACGGAACAGGGTGAAAGCACATGCCGCACTTCCCATCGAGGATGTCTCCCATGTGCTGGCAAGTAGCGCAAGTGTCTTCCTTACCAAGGCACGCATGCATGCCCGGAACCAGTTGTACTAATGCCGTGCGTGAAGGGGGAGGCCTCAACCGTGCAATCCTTTCAAGCTGAGGAAACCTGCTTAGGGCTATTCGGGCGGTGCCCCATGCCTAACAAACCTTCACCCGAAAAACCTCCGCGCCAAATAAAGACATCGCCCCTTCGGCAACCAACAAGGTGATGGGAGTCCAAAACCCAAAAAAAATGCAACGAACCAAAAATCCATCGACCGCTTCGCACCCCCCAACCCCCCACCCCGGCCAAACCGCCGCGAGAGGCGCCGAAGCCTACAAGAAGTAGTCGGGCACCAGCTTTCTGGAGGGTACCCCCCTGGCGTCCGCGGGCGCGGCCTGGCCGCTCGCTCACCGCTTGCTGAAACTTGCTCGCCCCCGCCGAAAGAAACCGGCGAAACCTGGGCGACGTTTTGACAGGGTAGGCTTAAACCCAGGGGTGGGTCCTTCCCCCAACAAGGAGAATCAGATCTAAGTCTATCTGGGTAGTCAGAAAGTGGAACCCGGGGAGGCGGCGATGTTTTTGAGGCCAGGAGCAAAGCCGATTTGTTTTTTTGACCAGGGAAACCTGCTCAAAAGGAAACCAGAAGGAAAATTGGACGCTTTCGACGGTTCTCTTGACTCGGGACCAATTAAGATATATGTCAAACATAAAAGCAACACACTCAGGCTAATGGTTTCAGGACGCACCTAGAATGAAACCAGAAAAGACGAGGTGAATATGTCCGAAACTCCGAAACTCCGGTGCCTTTCCACACGCAAGAGAGCCATGGCCCTAGATTCGGGGCTGGCTTCCATTCGCTTGCGCGAGCCTTGTGAGTTGCAGCTAACAGCAAAACACCCCGTTTCTGGAGCCCCAAAAGGCGGGGGAGAAAAAAAAAAAAAAAACAGAGGCGAGTTCAGCCCTGGCAACGGTGGCATGCAGCTGCTTTCGAGCTCTGGAGTGGATTCCACCAGCAGGGCCCGAGAGCCCGCCTCGAAGATTCGGAAGGCATGCTTCAAATTCTCATCAAACTCGAGGATTGCGGCCACATTGCCACACCTGGGCAATGGCTCGGCCCAAACTCGATCCGTTCCCCTTACCGCAACCACAAAGGAACGGGGGCAAACGCCACACCCTCGTGTTCAATCCCCTCCACCAATGACCTGCATGCGCAGGGACCCTACCGAACCCAAACATCTCCTTCTCCCCCCAAAAGAAAAACAAAAACAAAAGCAAGCGCCTCCCCGCCCCCCCTCCCCACACACAACCTGATTTGCCCGCAAGTTTGACCTTAACAAGGCTCATCAATACCAACCCCAGGTACAGCGCTCTGCTCCCCTGAACTGAGGTCGAGGCCGGTAACAATAGTTCGGCGCGGACCACACAGTAACTAAAGCCTCGGCTAACTGCATGACAAAACGGCAAAATGCATCCCGCTTCCGATGATCCAAGCGGGTGCCTGCTGCCCCCCAATCCACGCTGCTGTCTACGCGGTCCTACTGGAGGCAGTGGAAACCCTCCAAATGATCCTAACGATTGCTTTGGGTTTCCTTAAGCAACGCCAACCAAAATGGGATGCCCTGAAAGAAGGAACCATGAACTTAAACTGCGAATTCCCACAAAAGGGGTGGGTGAACATAACTCCCTACCTAAATGATGCCCACCAAAGGGTTCCCGAAGACTTTCATACCCAGCTGAACCCTGGATATGATCACTTAAGCAACTAAGTATGAAGGGAACCTTCACGGGAAGAACGTAACCTCGCAAGCACGCTCATTGTGCCAAAGCTCGCTTTGAGTTGCCCTGCCTTGGGATGGCGTCCAATTCGGAGTGGTCAGCCACGAAAAGAAAGGCGTTTTAAACCCTGGTCGAACGGACTCGTCTCAAAATGTTGCTGGATGCGTTGAAAGGGAAACGAAAAGAAAAAATGGTTGAAACACAAACCCAACTTACCAAATGAATGGGAAACCAAAAGAAAAACATGTTGAACCACAAACCCAACTTACCGAATGTCTCCAATCAACTTGAACAAGCAAAAAGTCAGCAAAGCGATGCCACGTGGTCGAGTGAGAACGGACTAACGGAGGACAAATGAAGTAACTGTTTTAAAGGGGGTCCCTATATGACAAACTCAAATGAGTCATCGGAACCTGGTGCCAAAGGAGTATGCGCAAAATGTGTAAACAAACAAAAGGACTAGATCGGCTGAAATAGCTGTGTGTGTGTGTGTGTCTGTCTTTTCGTGTTTCTTGATGTTGCCCTTTTCGGGGATATGTTTATAAGGATACCAAAGGGAAACCACCGCAAATCCCCTTTAAGCGGTCATTGTTTGAGCGGTTTCCCTAAAGGACGCGGCACAACTTATTTTTTGAGGGAAATGTCGAGCTTCAGGTATGTCTTGGGCGGTAAACATGATCTACGTACACATATATCAACTACTTTTGTTGGGACGGTGCAATCATGCAAAGTCCCCCTTCCAGATGGGAACACCATCCACTCTAAGGGTACAACCCAAAAAGGGGGCCGGTTCTCATGGCTGTCCTTGTGTCCCCCATGGCCAGTGAAAGCCACTAGAATATGAGTCAAGGGCTGGGAGGCGCACTCATTGGGTGTCTTTAAAAAAGGGGGACCCCAAAAAATGGACTTTGGTTCCTTTTTGGCTTCCCTTCACCACCACAAAAGTGGGGGGGTACCACCTCAAAGAAAAACAAAGGCGAGCAAGCCGACCCTCTCGTTGGAGACACACACACACACACACCTCGACCGAGACGAACGCGGAAAAGAACCCGGCGAATCCGCGCATCCATCCCCGGATGCGGTTGCGAATCCGCGGATGCGTCCCCGAACCGAGAACGTCGCCCGAACACCGCGCAACCGCCGCGCCTCGTTGAACATCCACTTGTAGCCCTCCATGACCAGCTGGTGGGCTCGCCCGATGAGGTCGATGCCGTTGGTGTGGTTGAACCTCGGACCGCCGGCCCGGAGCCGCGAACACGGGGAGGTCGCTGGGCGTTGGAGGCTCAGTACCCCACTTTCTTGGCTGTTTTTGTGGCTTTAAAGAGAAACCAAAAGGAACACCACCATGTTGAATTTAACAGGGATTCCATGTAAATCTGCAGAAAAGTATGTTTATAAAGAATTGGGGAACCAAACTGGACCTCGGTTTTTCCTTACGGACTTCCTGCGGGAGTTGCTGTTCGATGTCTGTTGGTGACGTTTTCTAGTTGGGTCCTTGACCCTCTTCTGAGGCCAACTTTCCTTCCCCATAACACATCACCCCAAAAGGTCATGTTTCGAGCCACAAGGAGAAATACGGTGAACCCTGAGCTGTGATGCCAGTTGTTGTTTTGCCTGTCTAGACACATGTGTCTGATTTCAAGGAGAGTTCTCTGGTATCACAGAGGTGCTTGGAACCCAAATCCACAACCCCCCCCAACCGGAAAGGCGTCTCAGATTCCGGAGCCCTTCTGACGCCCTTGAGGATGTGTTGTCTTTTCTGCAGACTAAAAAGTACCGATTGGTTTCCTGACAGTTCCGAGGGATTTGGCAGAAAGTCCTATGGTTTGAGGTGTTGAGGGAGGCCGGGAGATTTGAGGGAGAGATGTTTCGGGATGGGGAGGTTTCTGCGAAGGCGCAGACCAACCTTTTGAGGTGGTGCAAAGATCCCAAAAAGCATCCGACCACCTGAGAATTCTCGAAGATCCTCTAAGTCAGCTGGCATTCCAGCGATTTGACTGGCACCAACTGCATCCTTGAAGGACTCGCAACCCTGGATCAATAAACTGGTTGATCCTGGTTGAGCGATGTCCAGGTGGTGTCCCTTGGAACGATCGCAACACGTTTGGAGCATCTCTTTAAAGACACACCCCACAGGTGTCATTTTTCCCAAACCACCAAAAAAGATGCCCCCGCAAAAAAAAATAGATATACCCCCCCCCCCCGTTTTCCTTCAGTGAACCCGGGGCCGTCTCCTCCGTTTCCGTTTCCGAGGCGCCCCTTGACCGCGTCCCCGCCGAAGAGGTACCCCGCCCCCCGCGGGGACAAAGCCCAGCCCTCCAGGTCCTGCGCTTTTTGATCCTTTTTTTTTCAGCTTCTCTGCGGGCTTCTTTTTTCCGGGTGTTTGTTTGGTGTTTGTTTGTTGAAAAAGAAAACACAATATGGGGTTCGCTCTGGCACAAGAGTTGACGGGTTCTTTCCCTAACTTCCGGGCGGACCCGAAAGTTCGTTTGGGCGACCCAGGTTCAAGGCACCAAGAAGGGGGCCAAGAGAGGTGCCTCGGGCCGGCCTTGGCTTTTTCTTTTGTGCCTTGAGCCTGGTTGTCGCCCAAGCGAACTTTCGAGTCCGAACGGAGGTTAGGGAACAACCCATCGACTCTTGCGCTCAGATTCCGAGCGAGTCTTGGCCAGCCCGGAGGCTTTGAGGAACAAGTAAATACAACAGCATAGACCCCAAGTAGCATACAACAGGTCGAGGATTGCACACCGTTCATTGACCACATCATACCAAATTCGGGGACATTTCTGTGTAGAATTGAGAGGCTTCCTGGTGTGGAATTGAAAGAACAAAAACCTTAAGTGACTTAAGTGTTGTTGTTTGCTCCATTTCTGTGGGCAGCATAGGTGCTTGAAGTTTGGCACCGGTTGCGGGGTTGAAAAGGGCAGGATTTGATCACCTGCATCAGCACCCCCATGCCTAGCACGGCCGCCACTCTCGCAAAAATGTGCCCCCCGTCTGACAGCACCTGCACCAGTTCCCCCAAACCATGTCTGCCTCAGCACTCGTCCCAGCTAAACGCAACATGCTTGGAGGATCTGGCCCATAGTTGCGCGTGTGTGTGTGTGTGTGTGTGTGTGGTTCTCAACTTTGCAACCTGCCACAGAAAGGGTACCCTTCTGGCACAAACCGTGTCTGGTGGAACGTCCACATGCAAACCACATGTCAAAGCTCAATGGGTCCGTCTCAAAGAAGCGATTGGAGTGCAAAATGTGACCCCTGTTTGGCTTCGGAACCCGAAAGCCCACATAGATAGTCGGTGTCCCCTATAAGTCACACTGAATCTTTGATCGCACCCCTAGTTGGTGGTTTGGCTTGGTGGTAAAGGAACTGGGGTTCAAAAATCCCCAGTTCCACCAATCCAAACCACCAATTAAGGGTTAGCTGATTTGGCTGTGGGTCAAAAATAGGTACCCAAAATGGCTTGCCCTAATAAATGGAAACATGGACTAAGATCTGCGGTCCAATTCCTGGTGGTTTCATCTTGACCCATGCCAACCCAATCCACAACACATCTCGAAGCTTTCAGCACCCGTCCTCCGGGTCGGACCACATGAGGTCGCACATGGCCCCCTCGTGCGGCACCTCGAAAAGGGGAGACCAAAAGCTCAACGGGTACCCACCCAAAAACAGAGAATGATGGGGTGGGATGGCACCCCGTTAAGGCAACCTAAGAAATGATCAAAGGGCCAAACAGCTTCAGATAGCTTAAGATGGATCCCGCAACAGGATGAACAAACATGCATGTAGTGAAAGTCTCTCTCTTCCTCTCTCTTTTCTCTCTTTGTCTCTCTCTATCTCTCTCTATATCTCCCTCTCTCTATCTTTCTGTTTCTCCTTCCCTTTCTCTTTCCTATTCTCCTTTCTCTCTTCCTCCCTCTCTCACTCTCTCTCTCTCTCTCTCTCTCTCTTTTTCTTTTTCTCTTTCTTTACAGTATCTTCCTCTTCCGCTTCCTCTTCCCCTACCACTTCCTCTTCCACTTCCACTTCCAGTGTCCTCCTGGGCTTCTTTATCTTGCTCTTTCTCTTACTCTTTCTCTTTCCCTTTCTCTTATCTTTCTCGGAGGCTCTTTCTCTCTTCAACCCCAGAAAAACGCAGTTGTTGAGAGTCTACCCCGCCGACGTCCACACAGGAGTGAGACAAACAAACGAGATTCTGATGGTCAACCACAGAGGGTTATATATTTGGAAGCAGTGCGTGCAGCTGTGCCATTGGGCCCGTCTCCACCGTTCAGGGACCCTTCCGCACCCACCACATTCTCTGCCTGCTTCGAACAACTGGTTCTTAGCCTTTTTCACGGAGCAGCGGAAATATATATATATATATATATACATATATAATATGTATATATTCCCCAAGAAGGCCCTCTCAAATATTCCCACAGAAGTCGTTCTTATTCTTCCTTGGACAAAAGGAAGGTGCCCCTGAGTTGGACACTGCGGCATGGCTCACGGGCACAAAGCCCATGTTGATCTAGGGCGAAGCTTCGTATAGCCGTTAAACCAGCGGGAAGCAACCTTCGAAATTGCCTTAAGCTCACATAGCGCATGCGGGTGGTCTTATAAGTGCCGACATCTAGTTGGCGTCTCCCCTTTGGCTTCCGCTTACGCGCCCTTTTGGTTCAGCTTCTCCCTAGTTGGTGGTTTGAAGCCCGGCGGTTTGGTGTTTCGGGGTGTTTGTTCAAAGCAACTAAGGGGTGCCTGAAACCGGCTTCGGCTTTCAAGCTTCTTGCTTTCCTTTTGGGCCAGCCCCGCATAGGTGGCCTTGTGGACAAACCGGCCTCCTGCTTGCGATCGATACTCCGGACGTCATCCAGAGTGGTGATGGCCGGCGAGAGGCCCCCGTGGACGCAGAACACCCTGTCCTGCCGATTTTTTTTCAGCGGCGTCCACCGATTTCGGACAAACCAAAGCCAAACACGATTGTTTAACTGCACTGGGGCGCTTTGGTCGACATCATTCAGGATTCATGTCCAGAAACAATTTGCAGGAGAATCCCTCTTAAATTTATAGCCGGAACTGTTTGACTGGGCCCTACCTCTTCGGAAAGGGAAAATGAAGAATTGATCCGTCATTTGGCATGCTCCGAAGACTCTAGAACCTGAGCGGAGCAAGCCGGTCGTTCCCAAATCAACGCCAAAAACCCCGGGCCCTTGGGGAGTGGTTCGGGTCGGTCAGACGTTCCGAAGCTCGGCCGACCGGAAAGCCCGCCTCTATCAGGGCCGCAAGGGCCAAGTAATCAAAAACCTCCGTGCAATATCTCCACCTGAGTTCTCCGTCCAGAACACCAGGTCCGTTTGCTAGCCCTTTTTAGAGAATTCCGGCACTTTTAGATTGCTACTCTTTCCAGGAAGGAACCCTGATCCTGCTTAAGGCCCGATCTGCAACGATTGAAAGACTCACCTGGGTATGAATCTGAATTGGTCGTCAAACGAACTCAAACCTTTTGAAGCATGTATACCAGCACCAACCTTTTCTAGTTGCAAATCATGGTTGCAACTGGGCAAGCACTTTTTTCTTCAGTTCCAACCATGACTTCATTCCCACCCCGCTCTGACCTGACCGGTCAAGAAGGGGCAAACTGGTTCAAACTTGTGCAAAACCGAGCAAACATGCCATCAGCGCTCGCGTGAGGGCCAACATTTGACGGACAAACCCGCCGGCAAGAGATTTATAGCTCGCCGACTCACCAGGTCGCAATCGCTCCCCGGGCCGATTCGGAAACCAGTTGCTTTGCAGAGAGTCGGCAAGGGTTCGTTGCATCAGATGATTCAGCACCAACCTCTGCGAGCTCCGACATTCATCCAACCCTGAAGCTTTGCCCTTGCAGCCGAAGCCGCACATTCACGCTACCATATTTTCGGAGGCACTCATCATAGAAGCCGTACACCTGGCGGCCACCAAGCTTTCTACAAAAAAAAAAAGTTCTTGGGGTTGAATGTTTATCTGCAGAGTAGGCATTTGAGGTGTGTCAACACCCCAAGACCAAGAGCCAGAACAAATTTCACATGAGCACAAGGGATGGTAAAGGCTGATTTGGGTTGGCAGGTGGCAGTAAATTCGTTGCAAATCTGGCTTGCTTTCAGGTGGAGATTGACTTGGGGCCTGCCCCACATGGCTCTGTCACAAAGCTTCTGGCGCCTGCGTGATCTGCCGGCTCTCGTGGTTGCCCCGAATCAGCGTTATTCGGTCCGGGTAGCGCACCTGCGAGTTGCCAGACCGACACCTCGAGGTGACAAATCGATGACCCCCGGCTACGACCAAACGGAACTCGCGGAAGATGGGTCGTTGCGAAGGCCCGGATTGGTCAACGCGAAATATTCAAATTGTCTAGGTCCTCCAGTGGAGAGGTTAGAACAAGAATACCTCCCCCAAAAATGAGGTGAGAAAAGGCACTACTGGGGGACCTAGTTGTAGCCAAGGGCACAAAAATGCATCCAGCTGACACGCAAATGCTGACCGGTTTCGCTTCAGATCAAATCCGGCGCAAGACTGAACGAACTCGCCTTGAGCGCCAACAGCAGGAGAAAGGTCTCCACCTTAGGAAAAGCCGCCTGGGGTCGCCTGGGGGTATTACAGTAGATGGCTTTGCATGAAAGACAAGCAGATGTTTCTTGGAAAAGACATACTTTCATCTTGCCAAGACCAAAAACACTGAAAAACTACCTGCCCAGACAGTAGATGGACAAACTAATCGAACCGCCAACAAATGCGGCGCACACCCCCTGATACCCCCCAATGTCAATGTTACACTAAACACAAGCGCTTTTCATGTCATCGGGGTTTGATTTAATTCGTCCGACCCTCCAACTGGGCAATAACATTGAAATTGGGGGGGCGAGGGGGGGGCGTTACAGCTGTAAGGGTTTGATTGATTCGTGCACCTACGGTAGGAACCACGACCCAGCTGTGCAAGGTTTTGCGACACGAACTCGGAAACCCAACAGAATGATAGATATGATTCCCCAACGCAAGGATTTCGTCCATCCACAGTAGGAACCCACCAAAAACAAAAAGGCTGCCGCTGACCCCAGCGATACTTTTGACACGGCAGTGCCCCTGCAGGTTCTCATTTGAGTTATGAGCCCAAACTGAACCATACCACTGGCGGTTCGGACAAGATCCGCAGATTTCACAAAGCCCCGGATAGACCGAGGACTGGCAAGCGCTTGGGGGTTGGTTGAACCGAATGCCAAAAGAATACTGACCGTTTTGGGAATCCCCTGTTGCGAGACACCCAGTTGAGTGACATCCTCGAAAATCCAAGAGCTACGTGGTGGCCTGAAGGGAAACCACCGGGTTCCCCAAAGTCTTCTGAGAAGCCCAAAAAACGAAGCCATTGTAAGGAAGTAAGGGAAGGGTGCTCAGAAGAAGAGGAGGTCACAAGGCAAGGTGTCTGTCATTCGCACTGGGAATACATGGGAGGCTCGCCTCAGCTCACAAGAATTTGAGTCCCATTGTCGAAGCGTTTCTCCATGTTACTTTTTCTTTCCTCTTTTTGGGACCCGGGACCCTCCCAAGAATTCCAAGGATAGGACCATCAGCCCGTGAATCAACTTCCAAGCAGATCAGCCGTTCAGGCCGTTGCCGCCGCCAACCGCCAACCCGCTCGGCGCGTCCGTCTCGGGATGCTGCGCTGTAGAAGCCTCTGTCCACGAAGTCGCCCATGAAGAGGTAGTTGGTGTCAGGGCAGTCACCGCCTACCTGGCGTCTGTCTCACACATGGCCCGAGCCACCTACTCGAGCTTCTTTTTTTTTAAGGAGTAGGTTTCCCTCTCAACCTACGCGATGTAAGTTGCAAACAGGTCAAAACCCCAAGCTAATTGAGATCTCTTTCACGCAAAAAACAAAGGGGACCCAAAGAGGGCTAGCCCCAAACCCACAGTAAACCCTTGCAAACCAACTTGGAATTGGGGTAACATGTTGGCTTGTGTCCCCAAACCATCCTTTCGGCTGAGTTCGAACCTTGCTGCTTCGATGGAAGAGAATGAGCCCCTGAACAATCCCATAATGGCTATGTCTTCTTCCAGGGTATGCTTTTGGGTTGGTTTGAACGGAAACCAAAAGGAAACCCACCATTTTGGGGGTTCCCCTATCTGGCCATCCCACTAAAATACACTAAACTGGGTGGTGCATCTACCCCAAAATGGAACCATTGCTTTTGACCCACAGCCATCCTAAGACACACCCGCATGGCCCTTTCTCCAGATCTCGCCTTGAACAGCTCTACCAAGTCGTAGAACTGACCATGGATGTCCCCACAAATCTGGCAAGCAGGTGCCAAACGTCCCATGCTGATTGGTGCAGATGTGCCGCAAATCGCTAACACAACCACCTGCTAAATGGCCAAGAAGGGTTTTGAGCTCTGCACAGCGTCTGCGTCTGTGTCTGTGGCCGCAGGTCCACCCCCCAAGTCACAATAGTCCTTTAGTTTGGTGCAAGCCATTGGAACCTTCGCCCGAAATCTCCTGGAAATCCTCCTGCCTTCCTTAGCTTGCGCCCCTCAAAGCGCAAACGGCTGAGGGCAGGGCCGTGACTGGGGCATCAACTCTTTGCACATTGCACTCTTCAATGAGGATCTCCCTCGCTTTCGAGCACAAGGCCTGGCAACATGACAGACGTTCCCTCGGTCTCAGGGCCGAACCCAAATGGGCCATAGACCCTTCCAGTGTTGATGACACCAACGTCTGGACTGCCCATATGACTGAATGTCACTTTAAACAGGATTCCCCATCAGAGAAAGTGGCAATGGCGAGGAGAATGAAGTGGCCGCAACACTGCCATCCCTCCAGCATAGCTGCATGCTTCCGCCGATAAACCACCTTGCATGTCTCAAGACCCAAAAAGCCGCGAGAAAAGCAGAAAAGAACTCAAGAGGTTCGCAGAAACCCTCGCGCGGCCTTGACCTCGGCTTCCTTGATATACTCGCACCTGCCGACGTTAGCTTGGAACCCATCCCTTTCTCACCTTCCTGGCATTTCATCTGGGCGTAAACCTGGTGTTAGAATTGGAACCTACCAGGGAGACCAATGCCCCCTTTTTGGATGACACCAAAGGTTTAGCCAAGTATCAAATCGTCTTCTGCGCGGTTGTGCTGGTATATTAACAATGGTAGGGTCAAACCTTTTTAGTTTGGCTTCAGTTGATCAGTCCTCTCTCACCCAAGCCTCAAGTTTGCGACATGCCGTCTTTGGATCAGCCTTAGAATGGAAGCACCCATCAAAAGGATCCATGCTCAAAGCCGGCCCAAATCGCCTCGCTCCCGACACCTTCGCGCCCGAATTCGACGCCTTCGACTTCGCGAGACACGACGCCGACACTCGCGCCTTCGCAGCTGCTCGATCTGCCTGTCCAAGTCGGAGACCCCCATGGCGCGAGAGGAATCAAGCCTTCGAGCCAGAACGCCCAAATAACCCGTGAGCCGGTAAGAACTCATCCAAAACCTTTGGTAGCTCCCAAAGAAAATCATACCGTGACCGTGAGGTGTCGTGCTCAATGGTCGACCCTGTTCCTCAAGGTTTCCTGGGAGTACAAGTAAGCTGCACTGGGTCGGGGGGGTTGACAGCACGTTTTGCCTACAAGTCGTGTTACTAAGCCAAGCTGTTTAGCTCCTTTTTGCGCTCCGGCAACTTAACCAAGTCTGGCATGCTCATTCAGCAAACGCATGTCTGTAGACGCTGGCGCAATGTTCCTTGGAGATTGTCGGAAAGCCAGGCGATTGACCCTATGTCAGTCTGACCCGCTTGATGGATCAAAGCACATCTGGGGATTCAACTGCAACCACACTTAGCGAAAAGTGGCATTTGTTGTTGCATCCGCCAATCCTGACATTCTTGTCATACTGCGGCGCACGATGCGTTTGCATGGAGGCCACTGTGTCTGTAACCTGAGTTGGCTGTCAATAGCACTCTTGCGAAGCAGATCGCACTTGCAACCAAAGCAATTGCGGGTGCAAAGCGGCGGCAGCATGGCGGCAGGATGACGTGGCTGTGGTAAAGGTCTGGGGTGAAGACAAGAGAAATAGATGTGTCGTCGCACAAGCGTTGACGGCTTCGCTCACAAACGCTTGCCGGCAATGAAGCAATGCCTACAGCGGCGGAGCTTGTTGGAAAATCAAGCTCAAGCTCTGTTGTCGCCGCATCTAGAAGGAACCGACAGCTGGGGCACTGGGCACAGTACCTGCTCAACAGACGTGCAGCTGTAAGAGATCTCGCTTGCCTCAGCTGAAGCTGAAGCAATCGTGGAAGACACTAAGCGCATGGTCTGAGGCTGACAGCAGCTCACAAAGACTCATCAGAGCACTGCCTATGGAACGAGTCCCCGTGGCAAACTGGGAAAGAAAGCCGAACCGGCAGCTGGAGGTCGGGTCGGCAGGTTGCGCAGCCGCCGCGGGATCAGCTCATGGACCACGCGTCGCGATCCACTTGGGCCTGCCGCCAGACTGGGCATGAAACCGAAAGTTGGTCAAGCCAAGGATGCTCACTTCACCGGCTATGGGAAACCAAGTGCCCTTTTTTGGGGCTTAGTTGAAACCCTTCCGTTTGGGTAAGCCAACAACCTCACCAAGGCCTCCGGCAGGAGGCGGAGGTCCTGGGCGGAAGCCCCTGCTCATTTTCTCGCCCCTGCATGGTTTAGGTTGGGAGAAGGGCCTTTGCATGGACCTTGGCCCGAGTCAAACTCAAAATAGTTTTAAGGGTCCGATTGTTCCGATTGTTAGACACAATCCTAGACACAAAGAGATGGTCATTTTAACATCAGGTGATGGGTGTCCTTTGGAGTATCCAAATGTCCTCTTGATTTCTGTTTGACATTGGTTCAGATTTCCTGCGAAAGCCACCCGGCAGGAACCCAACTTGTCCAAGCAATCCAAAAACCAGGCAAGTGTGTGTGTGTGTGTGTGCCCGGCTTTGATGTGTCAACATGAGGAACCCTAAGCCCCAAGTTGTTGGCTTTTGTCGGCCTGATTTCTAAAATCAGGAAAGCAATCTGGAACGAGCAGCTGCCGTTGCTAAGGCGGGAGCCCAAAAAGACCCTCAGAGAAAACGTCAAAACCTTTCTATTCAATGGTTGGAAGGTACTAGAAGCTCTCTCGAACCATTGGCCGGTGAGAATCCTTGCACGTGCTGAAGGTATAGGCTTGCCTCCGAAATGGGTTCCCTTTGGTTTCCCTTTGAAACAACCCCAGAAGACCAACCCTTTTCCAACAATCAAAGTGGACCAAGTTAGTTCCTTGTCTTGGTTGGTTTGGGAAAAAAAAAAAGTATCCTTCCAAACAGGCCAGGTTATTCCCCAGAACTTGAAGTGCAGGCATACAGCGATGGCGCTCATAGATGTTTTCGATCCGAAGGCCGGGCGCTAGGCTGAAAAGGGGCGGCTGTAGGTGCGGCAATTTCCGGATGTGTCCAGCCCGGAGTTGTCCAGCTGTGAGGCCCAGCGCGCTGAAACGGGCCCCAAATCCTGGGGCGAATTGTGGGGGAAAACCAAACCCCGCCACGACACCAAAGCCGAGCGTTGGTCTCCTCCGCAAAAATTCGCTCCGCGGCTTTCGCGCCGGGAGCCTTTGAGCGAAAGAGAAAACGCGGCTTCGCGCCGGGAGGCCGGCCTGAGGGTCGCCAGAGGATTGGAATGTCATTGGGGGGTACGCTGATAGAATGGCAAGAACCATCAGTTCTAAAGTGACGCAGCAGGGAAAGGGAAAAGGCTTTGAAAGGTGAAAGGGGAACAAAGTGACTGGTCAAATCAAAGAGCCACGAAGGACGCGGTGAGCCGAAACACTGGAAATGGCCCAAGCACGTCCAGGAACACGATCCATGTTCACTGGCAAAAAACCAGCGTTCCTTTGGGTAACACACAGCCGCATGGGTCTTCGGTCTTGAGGCTGCCCCATTGTTGGGCTGTTTTGTTCATCAAACCAGCCTGGCTTTGGGATGCGTCTTTTTTGGGGGCCCTCACCCGTTTGGTTTTTGAGGGAAACCAAGAAGGAAACCCATTTTATTGGGGGTGGTCTAGGAGCTCCTTTTCGTCACCCCCGCGCACACGAGGAAACCAGAGGCCTACCAAGAAAGGATCTTGGAATGTCAGAGGGGGTTCTTAGACTTCGAATCGGGGGTCCTAATTTATCTCTCATTGATAGAAACAAGGAGACAACACGGGCGTGCGTGAATTCTAATTTGGGCCCTTTGGTGGATATCATTTAGCAATTAATGGCCATATTTCAACTACCCTCTTGCCAATCATTCAAGCGGGCAGACCTGTACAAGGTCATGTCGAATCCAAAAGGAATCTCACCAAGCTGAAGCCCGCCCCTTCTGGGAGCATCCTGCGGCGTTGCCCGTATAACTTCTGTGAACGCTGGGCACAAAGCGTTTCTCGAAAGAGATCACGCGACTTCCGGCCTCAAAGGTCTCCACTCCGGCAGCATCTCCACAATGCCACAGAAGGGTGCTTGCGTGTTTCTGTCTTTCCAAACAACTGCATGTTGGTGTTCTTGTGGGGAGGGCTGGAAAGGTTGCGCTTGTTTGTGCGATTGAATGTTGCTCGGTTGCCAGGATGGTGTTCCACAGCATCCAAAGAAATGTCAAAAAGCGCTCGGCTATGAAAGCTAGAAATTCCTCGCTTCACATGTTCTAAATGCGTGTGTTCCTCTAAGCGCGGGAGAAAGACGAAACAAGGGATCAGCAATGCTCTCAAAAGGTGGCGTGTGGCAGCTTGGGTCAAGCAGAGATGTCTACAAGTGTCACCACAAGTGTGCAAGAGTCGCGGTCAACAAAAGCCAGCCGTGACATGATGGCGGGCAATTGAGCCCGCGCTCTTTCGCAGCCCTAGGGTGGCGCCAATGTCTTGCTGTTGAAATCACTCTGGTTGAGACAACCTCCTTTTCCCTTCGAAACCAAGGGATGCCTTAAATAGAGCAAGGGAACAAGGGAAACCCTGTAAACTCCCATGGCTTGCGGTTGGCTTACTTGAATCTAGGGCATCCACCGGACCAGGGGATGGCTTCAATCGTCGCCTCACGCTGCTTGCTTGCCTGGCCTTCGCATCGAGCTATGCCCTTGCACTTTTTTTTCAGGGAGAATCGGTCTCAAGAATTTGCCCCAATGAAACCGTCAAAAATACTCTATTCAAGACACACCCAATTTGGTTTGCCGGTGACCTGAATTGAGTCCTATAAGAACCCGCCCAAAAAAATGCCAAACAATCCCAATAAAGGCGCTGTGTGGCTTTGCTGAGACAAAACCTGACCCTGCCTGACAGTACCCCTAATTTGGTGGCTTGCGTGGGGAATGGGAACCCCTGGTTCTTGTCAAAGCCAACACGCCGATTAGAGGGTAAGCTACCTTGATGCTGTTGCCGTGACATCAAAACTCGGGTCCTAAGTTGAGCAAACAGGAGAAAGCCCTTTCTGCAGCACAAATTCCAACTAGTTGAACACACCTGGCAATCGGTGAAGCAACCAGCAAATCCTTCCCAAATGCCTTTTGACGGTAGGCGCTGACGACGGGCTGCTAGGCAGCCTCGATGTAGGGTCCCAGGTCCCACACAGCCTGCCTGAAAACCGAGTCCCAGGCATGTGCCTGTGAGTAGACACTGCTCTTCTCGGTGAGACAGGCTGGTGGAAGCCCCCTTCTCGCAAACCCTGCCCAAACTGCTCGGCTTGAGACACGGGTTGAAATACGGCTGAGCCGCTGCGCCAGGATCTGTTTCGCCATGCCGCGGAAAGGCACGCGATGAGATGCAAGGCCTGGCCAGGCCATCGCAAATCTGGCGCCGCTCAACGCTGCATCTGCGCCCACCGAGCAACGAGCAACTGGCGACCCGATCTGCCACGGCGTTGGAGGGGCTAGGGCCACATGCGCACGGCTCGCAGCTCAATCGAATTGCCTGCATCTTCCCTCGCCTCCGAGCTGACCTCGCTGCCTTTGCCGCAGGGAGCTACGAGCTCAGAAACTTGAGTCGTCCTGGTCTTGCACAGCGACTTGTGCTCTGCCAAGCAAAAGGCGCACGATCGACACTTTTGCTGAGGGCATTGCGCAGAACAAGGCCAATGCCTGCCACTGCCCACCTTTCTCACAAGCACGATTCTGACATCTGGCAAGGCCAAGCCCGCCCAAGCTTGCAAATCTAGCGCAGCTCAACGCTTGGCCACCGAGCAACGAGCAACTGGCGACCCGATCTGCCACGGCATTGGAGGGGCTAGGGCCACATATGCACGGCTCGCAGCTCAATCGAATTTCCCACATCTTCCCACGCCTCCGAGCTGACCTCGTTGCTCTTGCCGCACGGAGCTACAAGCTCAAAAGCTTGAGTCGTCCTGGTCAGGGACTCATACATTGAAACTTGCAGGCCAGAACACATATGTGGCACATAAGCATGGCAAATCAGGCATAAATGCCGCTGCCGCCCACCTGGCCGGAACAACCCAGTTCACTGTGGGCTGGCTTCTTCTGGGTTCGTGAGAGAGAGCTATCCCAAATGGAAGACATAGGCTGGCATTGATATTTTTTATGTGCAGAACACGCAGGCCGTCGCGCATGGTAAAAGATTCACAGAATGCTATGAGCTGACAACCTCAAATGGAATGCTATAGTTGAGTCAAAGAGCCAAGTTGCTGCAAGTGTTCACACCCTGCGTGGGTCCAAGCACGGTTCCCAGCTTTATGTTTTACATCGTCACGCCGGAAATTGGCTGCCAGGTCGGCTGTTGTTGCTTATTTCTCCAAGCCCGGTCCTAAAACATTGTCACGCAGGAAATAGCCTGCCAGGTCGGCTGTTGTTGTTTATTTGCTTTGGTTCTTGAACCGGCGTCGCGCAAATCCCAAGGCGAAGGCAACGTAACGTGACAGTCCTAGCTGTTTCAATTACTGGTGATCGGCCACCCTGTACTGCACAGGGACTCATTCGTGGTTAAATGGGAGATTGAAACTTGCAGGCAAAAACAAATATGGAAGTGTGGCACATAAGCATGGCAAAGAAGGGCATAAAAGCCGCTGCCTCCTTCCTGGCCGGAACAACCCAGTTCACTACTGCGGCGGTGGATGTGGCAGTGTTGGTCGTAGAAAGATCCACGCAGGAAATCGGCTGCCGGGTCAGCTGTTGTTTCTTGTTTGCTTCGGTTCTTGCAAAGCTCAAACCGAAGGCAATCACAGCAAATTGACTGCCTTGCCGCTTGCGCTGATCTCCAGGATGTTTGTCCACGGGAGAGATTACTGGTGATTGGCCACCCTGTACTGCGCAGGGACTCATTCGTGGTTGAAGGGGACATTGAAGCTCGCAGGCCAGAACACATATGTGGCACATAAGCATGGCAAATCAGGCATAAACGCCGCTGCCGCCCACCTGGCCGGAACAACCCAGTTCACAGACTTGAACCAGCGTCGCGCCAAGCCCAAGGCGAAGGCAGCGTAACAGCTCTAGCAGGTTTGGAAGGAACAACCATGGCAGAACGAGCCTTCAACATCGCAACGCGGTCAGCTTGCCAGCTGCTACGGCTAAGAGGAAGCATGGTGGGTTCCTATAGGGACCAGTGGAATATCAAGTCTGGCGCGACCCAAACAATACAGGAAGATCCCGTACAAAAGGTTTCGGTTTTGAACCAGTCCCAGTCCCAGCTGACAACCTTACAATGGAATGCTTCACCTGGCCAGCTTGCCGGACTGCGTTGCAGCCTCTTGGAAATCCCATATCTGTTGCGTCAAAGAGGCAAGTTGCTGCAAGTGTTCACACCCTGCGTGGTGGGCTGGCTTCTTCTGAGTTCGTGAGAGAGAGCTATCCCAAATGGAAGACATAGTTTTTATGCGCAGCTCACGCAGGCCGTCGCGCATGGTAAAAGATTCACAGAATGCTGTGAGCTGAACGCTGTGAGCTGAACGCTGTAAGGTGAACGCTGTGAGCTGACTGCGGGCATTTTGGATTCAAAGTGCCTACAAAAGGCCTCTTGGCGGACAGGTGCTTACTGTAGCCAGAGAAACACCTGTATCGCGACAAGCTGGGAACTTGATATCAATACCCCTCATGACTCATGGGGGCAATATCATGGAGACCGGCCCCGTTGCTCAATTGCGGCCTTTGGCCACGTGAATTCCTTCTGATTTGTGCACCAAGTCTGTTTGCAGGAAGACATGTTGCCGACGGCGTCCTTGCACCGCTGCGTATCTCAATTGTCAAAGGCTCAGCCTGACGCGGGCCAGCCGACCCAGGAAGATCCCGCAAAAAAAGCGTCGGCTTTGAAGCAGTCCCAGTCCCAGCTGACAACCTCAAATGGAATGCTATAGTTGAGTCAAAGAGCCAAGTTGCTGCAAGTGTTCACACACTGCGTGGGTCCAAGCACGGTCCCCAGCTTTATGTTTGACATCGTCACGCCGGAAATTGGCTGCCAGGTCGGCTGTTGTTGCTTATTTGCTTTGGGTCTTGAACAGACTTGGACCAGCGTCGCGCAATGCCCAAGGCGAAGGCAGCGTAACAGCTCTAGCAGGTTTGGAAGGAACAACCATGGCAGAACGAGCCTTCAACATCGCAACGCGGTCAGCTTGCCAGCTGCTACGGCTAAGAGGAAGCGACCCAAACAATACAGGAAGATCCCGTACAAAAGGTTTCGGCTTTGAACCAGTCCCAGTCCCAGCTCACAACCTTAAATGGAATGCTTCACCTGGCCAGCTTGCCGGACTGCGTTGCAGCCTCTTGGAAATTCTATATCTATTGCGTCAAAGAGGAAAGTTGCTGCAAGTGTTCACACCCCGCGTGGCTCCAAGCCCAGTCTTAAAACAGGAAATAGCCTGCCAGGTCAGCTGTTGTTGTTTATTTGCTTTGGTTCTTGAACCGGCGTCGCGCAAATCCCAAGGCGAAGGCAACGTGACAGCCCTAGCTGTTTCAATTACTGGTGATCGGCCATCCTGTACTGCACAGGGACTCATTCGTGGTTAAATGGGAGATTGAAACTTGCAGGCAAAAACAAATATGGAAGTGTGGCGCATAAGCATGGCAAAGAAGGGCATAAAAGCCGCTGCCTCCTTCCTGGCCGGAACAACCCAGTTCACTACTGCGGCGGTGGATGTGGCAGTGTTGGTCGTAGAAAGATCCACGCAGGAAATCGGCTGCCGGGTCAGCTGTTGTTTCTTGTTTGCTTCGGTTCTTGCAAAGCTCAAGGCCGAGGGCAATGACAGTTCTAGCTGTTTCACACTGTGCAAATTGACTGCCTTGCCCCTTGCGCTCGGGTCAAACCCACAAACCAAATGACTCATGAGGGAAATATCGTGGTGGGGGCCTTCAACACTGCAATGCGGGCAGCTTCCCAGCTGCGGCTGGAAAGAAACTGCACAAACAATAGGAAGCATGGTGGCTTCCCATCGGCGCTGGAAAATCAGAGAGCAGGCCGTTGCTGAGCATCATGCTCGTGCTCTTGCACTACCCCTGCATCGAGCACAGGTCGCCTCCTGATTCATCGCATCCACGCCTGGCGAATTCTTCAGGTCCAGTTGTTGGTTCCGAGCAAAGATATTTTTGGGAATGGAGACCGGCCCCGTTGCTCAATTGCGGCCTTTGGCCCCGTGAATTCCTTCTGATTTGTGCACCAAGTCTGTTTGCAGGAAGACATGTTGCCGACGGCGTCCTTGCACCGCTGCGTACATCTTAATTGTCAAAGGCTCAGTCTGACGCGGCCCAGCCGATCCAGGAAGATCCCGCAAAAAAGGCGTCGGCTTTGAACCAGTCCCAGTCCCAGCTGACAACCTCAAATGGAATGCTATAGTTGAGTCAAAGAGCCAAGCTGCTGCAAGGGTTCACACCCTGCGTGGGTCCAAGCACGGTCCCCAGCTTTATGTTTTACATCGTCACGCTGGAAATTGGCTGCCAGGTCGGCTGTTGTTGCTTATTTGCTTTGGTTCTTGAACAGACTTGAACCAGCGTCGCGCAATGCCCAAGGCGAAGGCAGCGCAACAGCTCTAGCAGGTTTGGAGGGAACAACCATGGCAGAACGAGCCTTCAACATCGCAACGCGGTCAGCTTGCCAGCTGCTACGGCTAAGAGGAAGCATGGTGGGTTCCCATAGGGACCAGTGGAATATCAAGTCTGGCGCGACCCAAACAATACAGGAAGATCCCGTAAAAATGGGTTCCCAGTCCCAGCTCACAACCTCAAATGGAACGCTTCACCTGGCCAGCTTGCCGGACTGCGTTGCAGCCTCTTGGGAAATCAGGGAAATCCCATATTTGTTGAGTCAAAGAGGCAAGTTGCTGCAAGTGTTCACACCCTGCATGGCTCCAAGCCCGGTCCTAAAACAGGAAATAGCCTGCCAGGTCAGCTGTTGTTGCTTATTTGCTTTGGTTCTTGAACCGGCGTCGCGCAAAGCCCAAGGCGAAGGCAACGTCACAGCCCTAGCTGTTTCAATTACTGGTGATCGGCCAGAGATTGAAACTCGCAGGCCAAAACAAATATGGAAGTGTGGCGCATAAGCATGGCAAAGAAGGGCATAACAGCCGCTGCCGCCTTCCTGGCCGGAACAACCCAGTTCACTACTGCGGCGGTGGATGTGGCAGTGTTGGTCGTAGAAAGATCCACGCAGGAAATCGGCTGCCGGGTCAGCTGTTGTTTCTTGTTTGCTTCGGTTCTTGCAAAGCTCAAGGCGAAGGCAATCACAGTTCTAGCTGTTTCACACTGTGCAAATTGACTGCCTTGCCCCTTGCGCTGTTCTCCAGGATGTTTGTCCACGCGAGAGATTACTGGTGATTGGCCACCCTGTACTGCGCAGGGACTCATTCGTGGTTGAATGGGACGTTGAAATTTGCAGGCCAGAACACACATGGAAGTGTGGCGCATAAGCATTGCAAATCAGGCATAAACGCCGCTGCCGCCCACCTGGCCGGAACAACCCAGTTCACTGTGGGCTGGCTTCTTCTCGGTTCGTGAGAGAGAGAGCTATCCCAAATGGAAGACATAGGCTGGCATTGATCCTTTTTATGTGCAGCTCACGCAGGCCATCGCGCATGGTAAAAGATTCACAGAATGCTGTGAGCTGAACGCTGTGAGCTGAACGCTGTAAGGTGAACGCTGTGAGCTCACTGCGGGCATTTTGGATTCAAAGTGCCTACGAAAGGCCTCTCTTGGCGGACAGGTGCTTAGCAATGGAAACACATGTATCGCGACAAGCTGGGAACTTGACATCAATACCCCTCTGCGAATGACCAAAGGCCTACGTCAGCATCATGGGAGCGGTCAAACCCCACAAACCAAATGACTCATGAGGGAAATATCGTGGTGGGGGCCTTCAACACTGCAATGCGCGCAGCTTCCCAGCTGCGGCTGGAAAGAAACTGCACAAACAATAGGAAGCATGGTGGCTTCCCATCGGCGCTAGAAATTCAGAGAGCAGGCCGTTGCTAAGCATCATGCTCGTGCTCTTGCACTACCCCTGCATCGAGCACAGGTCGCCTCCTGATCTATCGCATCCACGCCTGGCGAATTCTTCAGGTCCAGTTGTTGGTTCCGAGCAGAGATATTCTTGGGAATGGAGACCGGCCCCGTTGCTCAATTGCGGCCTTTGGGCACGTGAATTCCTTCTGATTTGTGCACCAAGTCTGTTTGCAGGGAGACATGTTGCCGACGGCGTCCTTGCACCGCTGCGTACATCTCAATTGTCAAAGGCTTAGTCTGACGCGGCCCAGCCGATCCAGGAAGATCCCGCAAAAAAGGCGTCGGCTTTGAACCAGTCCCAGTCACAACCTCAAATGGAATACTATAGTTGAGTCAAAGAGCCAAGTTGCTGCAAGTGTTCACACCCTGCGTGGGTCCAAGCACGGTCCCCAGCTTTATGTTTTACATCGTCACGCTGGAAATTGGCTGCCAGGTCGGCTGTTGTTGCTTATTTGCTTTGGTTCTTGAACAAACTTGAACCAGCGTCGCGCAATGCCCAAGGCGAAGGCAGCGTAACAGCTCTAGCAGGTTTGGAAGGAACAACCATGGCAGAACGAGCCTTCAACATCTCAACGCGGTCAGCTTGCCAGCTGCTACGACTAAGAGGAAGCATGGTGGGTTCCTATGGGGACCAGTGGAATATCAAGTCTGGCCGACCCAAACAATACAGGAAGATCCCGTAAAAATGGGTTCGGCTTTGAACCAGTCCCAGTCCCAGCTCACAACCTCAAATGGAATGCTTCACCTGGCCAGCTTGCCGGACTGCATTGCAGCCTCTTGGACATCCCATATCTGTTGAGTCAAAGAGGCAAGTTGCTGGCAAGTGTTCACACCCTGCATGGCTCCAAGCCCGGTCCTAAAACAGGAAATAGCCTGCCAGGTCAGCTGTTGTTGTTTATTTGCTTTGGTTCTTGAACCGGCTTCGCGCAAAGCCCAAGGCGAAGGCAACGTGACAGCCCTAGCTGTTTCAATTACTGGTGATCGGCCACCCTGTACTGCACAGGGACTCATTCGTGGTTAAATGGGAGATTGAAACCTGCAGGCAAAAACAAATGTGGAAGTGTGGCACATAAGCATGGCAAAGAAGGGCATAAAAGCCGCTGCCTCCTTCCTGGCCGGAACAACCCAGTTCACTACTGCGGCGGTGGATGTGGCAGTGTTGGCCGTAGAAAGATCCACGCAGGAAATCGGCTGCCGGGTCAGCTGTTGTTTCTTATTTGCTTCGGTTCTTGCAAAGCTCAAGGCCGAGGGCAATGACAGTTCTAGCTGTTTCACACTGTGCAAATTGACTGCCTTGCCCCTTGCGCTCGGGTCAAACCTACAAACCAAATGACTCATGAGGGAAATATCGTGGTGGGGGCCTTCAACACTGCAATGCGGGCAGCTTCCCAGCTGCGGCTGGAAAGAAACTGCACAAACAATAGGAAGCATGGTGGCTTCCCATCGGCGCTGGAAAATCAGAGAGCAGGCCGTTGCTGAGCATAATGCTCGTGCTCTTGCACTACCCCTGCATCGAGCACAGGTCGCCTCCTGATCTATCGCATCCACGCCTGGCGAATTCTTCAGGTCCAGTTGTTGGTTCCGAGCAAAGATATTTTTGGGAATGGAGACCGGCCCCGTTGCTCAATTGCGGCCTTTGGCCCCGTGAATTCCTTCTGATTTGTGCACCAAGTCTGTTTGCAGGCAGACATGTTGCCGACGGCGTCCTTGCACCGCTGCGTACATCTCAATTGTCAAAGGCTCAGTCTGACGCGGCCCAGCCGATCCAGAAAGATCCCGCAAAAAAGGCGTCGGCTTTGAACCAGTCCCAGTCCCAGCTGACAACCTCAAATGGAATACTATAGTTGAGTCAAAGAGCCAAGCTGCTGCAAGTGTTCACACCCTGCGTGGGTCCAAGCACGGTCCCCAGCTTTATGTTTCACATCGTCACGCTGGAAATTGGCTGCCAGGTCGGCTGTTGTTGCTTATTTGCTTTGGCTCTTGAACAGACTTGAACCAGCGTCGCGCAATGCCCAAGGCGAAGGCAGCGAAACAGCTCTAGCAGGTTTGGAAGGAACAACCGTGGCAGAACGAGCCTTCAACATCGCAACGCGGTCAGCTTGCCAGCTGCTACGGCTAAGAGGAAGCATGGTGGGTTCCCATAGGGACCAGTGGAATATCAAGTCTGGCCGACCCAAACAATAAAGAAAGATCCCGTACAAAAGGTTTCGGCTTTGAACCAGTCCCAGTCCCAGCTCACAACCTTAAATGGAATGCTTCACCTGGCCAGCTTGCCGGACTGCGTTGCAGCCTCTTGGACATCCCATATCTGTTGAGTCAAAGAGGCAAGTTGCTGCAAGTGTTCACACCCTGCGTGGCTCCAAGCCCGGTCAGGAAATAGCCTGCCAGGTCAGCTGTTGTTGTTTATTTGCTTTGGTTCTTGAACCGGTGTCGCGCAAAGCCCAAGGCGAAGGCAACGTGACAGCCCTAGCTGTTTCAATTACTGGTGATCGGCCACCCTGTGCTGCACAGGGACTCATTCGTGGTTAAATGGGAGATTGAAACTCGCAGGCCAAAACAAATATGGAAGTGTGGCGCATAAGCATGGCACAGAAGGGCATAAAAGCCGCTGCTGCCCTCCAGGCCGGAACAACCCAGTTCACTACTGCGGCGGTGAATATAGCAGTGTTGGCCGTAGAAAGATCCACGCAGGAAATCGGCTGCCGGGTCAGCTGTTGTTTCTTATTTGCTTCGGTTCTTGAACCGACTTGCACCGGCGTCGTGCAAAGCTCAAGGCGAAGGCAATGTGACAGCTCTAGCAGCTTTGGAAAGAACAACCATGTCGGAACGGGTCAACATCACAACGTGGTCAGCTTGCCAGCTGCTACGGCTGAGAGGAAGCATGTCTGATCGGGGCCAGTGGAAAAGCTTCGGCTTTGAACCAGTCCCAGTCCCAGCTGACAACAGAAAAAATGGAATGCTTCACCTGGCCAGCTGGCGGGACCGCGTTGCAGCCGCTTGCAAATCCCACACCTGTTAAGTCAAACAGCCAATTTCCTACAAGTGTTCACACCCTGCGTGGCTCCAAGCACGGTCCCCCAGCTTTATGCTTTACATCGTCACGCTGGAAATTGGCTGCCAGGTCGGCTGTTGTTGTTCATTGTTTTGGTTCTTGAACAGGCTTGAACCGGTGTCGTGCAAAGCCCAAGGCGAAGGCAACGTGACAGCCCTGGCCCTAGCAGTTTTGGAAGATGGCGTAACGGGCCTTGAGTCAAAAAGCCAAGTTGCTGCAAGTGTTCACTCCCTGCGTGGCTCCAAGCACGGTCCCCCAGCTTTATGCGTTACATCGTCACGCTGGAAATTGGCTGCCAGGTCGCTGTTGTTGTTCATTTGCTTCGGTTCTTGAACAGGCTTGAACCGGTGTCGTTGCAAAGCCCAAGGCAAAGGCAACGTGACAGCCCTGGCAATTTTGGAAGGAACAACCATGGGATCCCGCAAAAAAGGCTTCAGTCCCAGCTCACGACCGGAGGCGGAATGCTCACACCTGTGATGTTAAGCACGGTCCCCAGCTTGATGCTTTACATTGTCGCGCAGGAAATAGGCTGCCAGGTCGGCTGTTATTGCTCATTTGCTTTGGTTCTTGAACAGACTTGAGCCAGTGTCGCGCAAAGTTCAAGGCGAAGGCAACATGACAGCCCTGGCAATTTTGCAAGGAACAACCATGGCGGAACGGGCCTTCAACATCGCAACGCGGTCAGCTTGCCAGCTGCTACGGCGGAGAGGAAGCGTGTCTGATAGGGGCCAGTGGAATATCCAATCTGGCGCGACCCAAACAATACAGGAAAATGGAATGCTTCACTTGGCCAGCTTGCAGCCGCTTGGAAATCCCACACCTGTTGAGTCAAACAGCCAATTTCCTACAAGTGTTCACACCCGCATTTGGTTCTTGAACAGACTTGAACCAGTGTCGCTTAAAGCCCAAGGCGAAGGCAACGTGACAGCCGTGGCAATTTTGCAAGGAACAACCATGGCGGAACGGGCCTTCAACATCGCAACGCGATCAGCTTGCCAGCTGCTACGGCGGAGAGGAAGCGTGGTGGAGTCTGATGGGGCCAGTGGAAAATTCAGTCTGGCGCGATCCGCACGATCCAAGAAGATCCCGTAAAAAAGGTTTCGGCTTTGAACCAGTCCCAGTCCCAGCTCAACACCTCAAATGGAATGCTTCACCTGGCCAGCTTGCCGGACTGCGCTGCAGCCTCTTGGAATATCTGTTGAGTCAAAGAGGCAAGTTGCTGCAAGTGTTCACACCCTGCGTGGCTCCAAGCCCGGCTCGGCTGTTGTTGTTGATTTGCTTTGGTTCTTGAACCGGTGTCGTTGCAAAGCCCAAGGCGAAGGCAACATGACAGCCCTGGCAGTTTTGGAAGGAACAATCATGGTGGAACGGGCCTTCAACATCGCAACGCGATCAGCTTGCCAGCTGCTACGGCGGAGAGGAAGCGTGTCTGATAGGGGCCAGTGGAAAATCCAGTCTGGCGCGACCCAAACAATACAAGAAAAGTCGGCTGTTGTTGTTCATTTGGTTTGGTTCTTGAACAGACTTGAACCAGCGTCGCGCAATGCCCAAGGCGAAGGCAACATGACATTCCTGGCAGTTTTGGGAAGGAACAACCATGGCGGAACGGGCCTTCGACATCGCAACGCGGTCAGCTTGCCAGCTGCTACGGCGGAGAGGAAGCGTGTCTGATAGGGGCCAGTGGAATATCCAATCTGGCGCGACCCAAACAATACAGGAAAATGGAATGCTTCACTTGGCCAGCTTGCAGCCGCTTGGAAATCCCACACCTGTTGAGTCAAACAGCCAATTTCCTACAAGTGTTCACACCCGCATTTGGTTCTTGAACAGACTTGAACCAGTGTCGCTTAAAGCCCAAGGCGAAGGCAACGTGACAACCGTGGCAGTTTTGCAAGGAACAACCATGGCGGAACGGGCCTTCAACATCGATCGCAACGCGATCAGCTTGCCAGCTGCTACGGCGGAGAGGAAGCGTTGTGGAGTCTGTTGGGGGCCAGTGGAAAATTCAGTCTGGCGCGACCCGAACGATCCAAGAGGATCCCAACCAGTCCCAGTCCCAGCTGACAACACAAGAATGGAATGCTTCACCTGGCCAGCTGGCGGGACCGCGTTGCAGACGCTTGTAAATTCCACACATGTTGAGTCAAACAGCCAATTTCCTACAAGTGTTCACACCCTGCGTGGCTCCAAGCACGGTCCCCCAGCTTTATGCGTTACATCGTCACGCTGGAAATTGGCTGCCAGGTCGGCTGTTGTTGTTCATTTGCTTTGGTTCTTGAACAGGCTTGAACCGGTGTCGTTGCAAAGCCCAAGGCAAAGGCAACGTGACAGCCCTGGCAATTTTGGAAGGAACAACCATGGGATCCCGCAAAAAAGGCTTCAGTCCCAGCTCACGACCGGAGGCGGAATGCTCACACCTGTGATGTTAAGCACGGTCCCCAGCTTTATGCTTTACATTGTTGCGCAGGAAATAGGCTGCCAGGTCGGCTGTTATTGCTCATTTGCTTTGGTTCTTGAACAGACTTGAACCAGTGTCGCGCAAAGTTCAAGGCGAAGGCAACATGACAGCCCTGGCAATTTTGCAAGGAACAACCATGGCGGAACGGGCCTTCAACATCGCAACGAGGTCAGCTTGCCAGCTGCTACGGTGGAGAGGAAGCGTGTCTGATAGGGGCCAGTGGAATATCCCGTCTGGCGCGACCCAAACAACACACGAGAATGGATTGCTTCACTTGGCCAGCTTGCCGGACTGCGTTGCAGCCGCTTGGAACTCCCACACCTGTTGAGTCAAAGAGCCAAGTGGAGGTTTTTGTTCACACCCTCTTGGTGGCACTCCAGGCTGTGTCTGAAATCGGACTGTCAACCTTTCAGCTTGGCTTTGCCATGGGCCGAATCAGACACCTTGCACAAAGAATGCATGCCCTCCCTCCCCCCCGGCAAGCAAGGAATTCGCACAGCTCGAGTCAAGCAGGGACCTTGACATCAGTGCCCTCTCGATGTTGGGCAGCCACGAGCTGAGGGAGACGTTGTTCTTGGGCATCCTCATTTGCATGTTCAGCCTTCAGGGTGAGACGAAGCGACACAGCAAGAATGTGACCCACGAGAATCGAGTGTGGAGAGAGCGGGGCGGCAAGGGCGAGGGCGTCGAGGTCCAGGCATCCGTCGAGGTCTGGGGATTTTTCACCCTCAGACTGCATGAACTCGAAGGAGACGCCAGATCCTCAGAGCAGTCTTCACAAGCGGGACCACAATTCCTTGAATCAGCCATACTATCAGAAAATGGTAGAAGGGCTTGATTGCATGGCAAGTCAAGTTACATCAAATGGACTTGGCCGCAGCACAAGGCAACAATGAGGCAACAGAACAGGTGGACTAAGAC